CCTTCCACAATTTATAAATTAGCAATAACAATAAAACAAGGCAGCCATTCCTTGGCCAAACCTCATGCCAGCAAATATGATACTGATCTCTTAGCCCCTTAAAGCAAGCATCCTGTATCTCTAGTTCAAACCTGAAAGCTGCAGAGTACCAACCCTGTGCTTGAGGTGTAGGGTCCAGGGGATACTGTGGAAGATGGCCCCCATTCTTTCCTGCAGATGGGACAATTGCCTGTAACTATGGTGGGAGACAGGTTGTCTTCACCTCTGCAGGAAGCCAGCTCCCAAATTTATTAAAGGTTTCTCCTTCCAATTGCTTCACCGAATACCAGAGCAACACTTGCTCTTGTAACAAAATGTCACTTGCTTTTCAAGTACAAGCTAAATGAGCTTTCCTGAGAAAATAATTGCCAGCTATTAAAAAGCTACTGTTGGAGCTTGAGAGGACTATTAAAATACAAAGAGAAATGTACCACATTCTTCCTGAATTGATACTTCAAACAAAACCTATTTTTGTTTTGAAATGTGGCACTAGAACAATGACCAGTTGCTTTTGTATTTCAGACTGAGAGTCATGCAATCATTTTCTAAGAGCAGCATTTCTGTGTTGCTCATGAAAATAGTGGGGTAAAAAGTCACAGGTCAGTCAGTCTCTGCCTTAGTCAGCAGAGGAGTCTCAATCCATCTCTCATCAAGTCTCTCATCACACTGGGGAATGTCCTGCTCAGGACCAGAGTGGACGCATTTGCTTCTGCCAGGGAGTCATCCCCAGGGAAGAGCCCCCATTTTCCTTACTTCCACCTTCTTAGTCCTCATTACAGCCTCAAATCTTACACCAAATAGCAACTTACTGTTGCTGTTTTCTTAAAAACAGATTTTAAACAAGTATTTTCTCCATAAGAGTCAATTCTTCCTCTTGCCCTCGAGTGCTACTTGAGATGGAGCACTTTGAAGGATCAGCTTTGTAATATCCACATGCACAGCCAGAATTGCATCAGTAACAGACCAGAACTGCTTCATCTCTCTTACCCCTAGTGTCCAATTGCGTCAGGCCCATAACCTTGAGAATTCCCTAGAAAGGACAAGGGGTAGATTTTGGGGTAATTTTCTCAAGCCATATTGCACTGAACTTACACTGCTGTACTCTCCTTTAGTTGGCTTTAAGCATCTGTTCTTTTCTGTCATGACTCTGTCTTGACAAAGGTCTGGATGTGACACTTCCAGTGCACTCCCATCTCCCAGGAACATGAGGTATTAGAGTGGTTTCATCTTTGCCACGAAACCTTTGCAGCACATGTTGGCATGAAAGACTACACCATTCACTGACACTACTTACCCCTCAGCCTGAATTACAACCAGGTACTGTGAAATGCTGCCCTAATTAGACTGTTTAGAATAGCTGGGCCACTGTTCATTAAAAGAGAAGTCAAATTACTGAATCTCTCTCTCATCAATCTCTGTTGGTTGTTATTCCAATGACCAGGTCAGCATTGAGACTGCTAATGAAAAACAGAACCTGGGAGATGACCTCACCAAGGACACAGCTGCTCCCCCACAAGTCACAACCTCAAACACGCTGGAGATGGAGACAGACAAGCAAAGCAAACACCACTGGAAGCACAAACCCTCATGTCAGGAAGCAGAGAAGAAAGACTTCACAAAACAAATGATGACAGGGAGATGCAGCAGCCATCTACTTACTGTGAAGTGTCCAAGGGGTAGTTCTGCCTAAAGAGAGGACATCCTTCAAGCTACTGTGGAAAAGCCACTCTGGGAGCTCAACCTTGGCACTGGAAGGGCAGTGCCAGCCAAGGCAGCCCTGCTGGCACGAGGGTGGCACAAACAGCAGCTGTGTCCGAACAATGTGGTGGCAATTCCCAGTGTCTGACCATTGTAGGTCATAGCCATGCCTTGGCCTGGTAAGCCTGCCTGAGAGCTGAGCAGAGCCCCACAGCAACATCATTTCTCATCCACATGCTAATCACCAAATAACGCCAAACTCCAACTTAACCGGTTTTGTTGATGAAGCAAGTATATATTTTTTAAATCTCAAAAAACATAACAACATACATGAGAAAATTCTATTCTATACCCCTTAAATTATACTTCCTCAAACTGGAAAACAGGATGAAGAGGATCTGGTTGCCAGACCAGTGATCCAGAGCTAGAAAGCAGTATAATTAGAACCAGGACTGAGACTGAAGACCCCAGGTTGTTAGCAAAACTAATTAGCTAATGTCATTAGAAAGCAACAGAGAATAAGCAAGAGCCGACTCAGACTCTACAGCAATCTAAGCAAAGGACAGTTTAATAACTGTACTTACGATATGTTTTAAAAGGAAAAAAAATCACTTAATGGAGTAGATTTCATCCTGGGCAATATCCATACATCTTGGACTTGGCAAAATGGCTTGGAGAAGAGGGTTTCATCATAGTAAACACAGCTACTTCACAGCAAGATTTATTAATACATCCAAAAGAAAGAAAGAAAATCATTTTGTCACACTATATACAGATAATACATACAGTGTTTTATACACATATTACATCAGTTTTTACACAAGAAAAATATACATAAAAATGTAAACTTTTGTATACAAAAACCCTTAAACAAATTAAACAAGGACCAGATAACAAAAGGAGACCAATCTATTATCATTTAATTGATTTTTTTTTTTTAAATGGTAATACAGTACATTCATTGAGAAGTATGAGGAACATGTGAGCCAACCTTTCCTATTTAAAGGGAAAGTACAAACACAAGCTTTCCTCCCCGCCCCTGGAATGCTGTCCGTGAGCCTCCAGCACTGGAGGTGGTGTGAGTTGCCATTGCTGCCAGGGCCCCTGAAGGAAGGAGCCCTTGTTCACCACACTGTCCCCGAGGGACACATGCACAGAAGCGAGCTGGGCTGGGCTGTTTGTGCGTATTAGCCAGGCTCCCAGCTAATACCATGAGACGGGACGTGGCAGTGCCCGTTTGTATGTTCCCTTTAAGCAGTCATTCAGTGGATTAGCCTTGCTGGAGGAAGTTGCTTATTTTTCCCAATGTATGGTATGCTGAACACATGTGTCAGATATGAGAGGGAAGAAGGAAGGGGTGTAAGAGACTGCTAATCCTTGCTACCATGCAGTTACTTCAAAATCAGGTACATTTGCAAGCTACAATTCACTGGTTCAAAATACACTGCCTCACCTTTGCTTTCCCACTGCAACTTGTTTACATTTTAAACTCTAGTGACCGAACAACTGTATGAGGCTCTTTGTTACAAGGCTGTTTCTGATATCAAAGCATGATCAAGCTACCTTTAAAATGACACCAAACACAAACTTCTCGGAGACAGCCTTAAAAAGAGAGAGCATTCCCTCTAAGCACTTCAGATTGTCCATTTGCCACCTTATTTTCTTAAGTCTAGGATAAATATATTTACCCTGAACTGCAAAAAGGATATTGGTCGAGCTTCTGACATCTGTTTTGCTCCATTTGCAGATAAATATTTTTGGGAATTAGAGGGAAAAAATCCCAAAAAACAAACCCAAATTTTAAAACCTCAGGCATAAAAGTAAGAAGGGAATTATTTAACATGTTGGTGAAAAAACAGTTGCAGAAACTTGAACTTGTTGGAAACAAACAGACGATAGATTCCAATGAAGGCTTCTCACATTAAATAAGTTAGACGGGTTACAGACATCTTCAATAAAAACATCCATCCTCCACAAAGTATGTTAAAATGAAACACAATAGTGATGCACTGGTATTTCTCCTAAAAAGGACAGAAGGACACGAAATCTCCTTAGTGATATCAGTACTATTGAATGTAGGAGGTGAACAATGATTTACAAAAGTAATGAGGGGAAAAGAAAATCATGAATCATTTATTATAATTGGACAAAAGGGGGATGGGGCAGAATGTAATTACTGTATGCCTCAGAAACATCTGAAGGAAATAAATACTTAGAAACTTGTGTTTCCATTTCTTTTACCTAAACGAGGGTGGGAATAAGGGCTTGTCTGCTTGCTTTTGTTTTTTTTGTTTCCTTTTTTTTTCTTTTCCTTTTTAAAATAACAACCCTTCTAGTAAAAATTCAAAAGACAATTACAAATGGCTTTAGATAATTAAAAGTCTCCTTTTTAAAATAAAACTTTGATAACACATTTCTCCATTTCTTCTATATAATGCAGCTTCAGTGAGAATAAGTAATAAGGGACAGCAATTTGCAAAAAAAAAAAAAAAACTGAAAAAAAAATGCCAACCAAGTTTTCGTAACATATACACATGTATATGCAGGACATCTACACTCTATATACATATTTAATATAGGTATGCATGAGTATATATCAGGAGATAACCAACAGGTACATTCTCCACATACACAAACTGAAATAGCATAACAGGCGTGTGCGTATCAATCCACACTGTCCACACGCAGTACACAGACATCCCATACACACGCCCCAACATATGTATCATAGAAGCCATGTGTGACTGCATGAAAGCTCAGATGGAACAGTACACCAGTTACCTTTTTCTAACAGAAATGCAAGGAAGACAAAATTCCATGGCTGAATTGTGGCCAAGAAAAATTGTGTCATAGCCATATTGAAAACATGGAATCCAGTATGGCTCGATGACAGAACTGGAGCAGCATTCTCCTCTGAAACTGAAGCCTAAGATACACAGCACTTCAATGTGACTGAGCAGGTTGCTGACAGCTGCTTTCTGCTAAAAGGATATAGAAGCTCCATTTAGCCAGAAAACAGAAAATAAAACACTTAAGCCCATAATTTACTTGCATAAGCAATATTACCCAATACACAACTAGATGCAAAGTGCTAGCATGTTAATGGTCAACTCTGCACTCCATTTTAAATCTGTTTTATGGTAAAGTGTAACAAACTGTGTTTCTTTTGATATGTTTGATGACAACCCCATTGCTCAGAGCAGAGCACAGGGCTGCCTTCTGCTTACTTCCTGTGTTTATGGGAGATACAAATCAAACCTAGGGTTGAAAATTGGAAGATAGTATTTGGTGGGCGCAGTTTTCTCATTTTGACCATTTAAATATAATGCTGGGTTAACCTTTTAATATGCTAGGAAGCTCTGCATCAGGTTCCATGAAAAGTTTGTATTCATCTGCAAATCAATCACAGTCCTACTGAATCACAATTGAAGCTGGGGAAGTTGCATAAGTTCAAGAAGATGCTCAGGGCCCAATTCAGCTACCACTCCAGTCACCAAGAGAATTTCCCTCATGCATAAGCAGAGCTGGATTGGGCCATTAAAGCTGATTGCTGCTAGCAAGAGAAACTGCAGAGATGCAGGGACAAGGAGGAGCTGGAATGGAGGCAATGGAGCAGAGAAGCAGAAGAAGTTGGCATTTTGCAAGAGGCCTCAACGAGACTAAATATAAAACAAAAGCAGAGACACAGAAAGGAAACTCCACTGTGAGGGCTGAGGTAACACAAGCCAATGGTGGCCAAGCTCAGATCAGTCTCTGAGTCATCCAGACCCTTCAGAAGAATTTAAAACAACTTGTCTGGCACAAGTGCTTACCTGTTACACATGTTATGTGGATGTGGATAGTCCCTCTCTTTAGCTCACACACTCACTGGTGTTACAGCTAATGTACAGGTGTGTGATACAAGGTATATTCCACCTATCAATCTGTATGCATGTATATATAGATTTAGATTGATTGCATTCATACATATTTATTGTACATTACGAGGCCAAGTCCACATTCAGCAAAATGCTTCTGTTATCTCACATACAGATATACCTCTCTGTACACAAAAATGGGTCTATTCTCCTCCATAAAGGCATAAAGATTTATGCTCCTAATTCCCATTACCACCAAATAAGCAGAAGAAAAGGCCTCTGACTAACTTCCACCTCCCTACCCTTTTGCCTCTATGCATATGTGCTAGAAACAAATTGTGGAGAGAAGGAAAGGGAGAGAGATGCCTGGGGGAGCATCAACATCATGATATGGAAGGGAATAAAAGAAAAATTGCAAAAAATTTCAAATTTCCATTCAATACTAGAAGCTCTGTTTTTCTAAAAAGGTTTTTAAAGTCACTGGGATCATCATAAAAGTGATACTGTATGAATAAATAACAATTAGGCTTTCTCCAGCCTAAATAGAAAAATATGAAGAGTAAGCCAATCTGAAGAACGTTTCTGACTTCTCACATTTCAAGTGAGAGCTCCCATAAAGAAATCTTTCTTCTCCAATTATGAAAAAAAGGTAAGTGGTCAAAATCAAATTCAGAATTTTACAGCCTAAATGAAACTCCCTTGACTGAATGCATATTTTCTTCTGCAATCCCACAACAGAAATTTTGGGGCAAAATTGATACACACAAATATCCTCAGAAGAGAAAAAAATTCTGCTTTGGAGACAAGATCCTTTTATGGAAAGGAGACCACTGCACAAACAGCACCCCTTACAATCTAATTGGAAAACACGAGAACGCTGGTTGACAACATTTTCCAAGCCAGACCGAAGGAGATTCAGGTATTAATTTGCAAAGATACAACAATTCTCATGCCTCTCCATCCCACTGAATGCAAACCTTCCCATTCAGTTTGTCCTGGAAAACTCCTTTCTTCCATCACTCCTCCTCCCCCATTTGTTTTATTTAAAGGCTGTCTTTGGGAGCTTGGTATTTTCATGGCATTTTAAACAGGGCTCAAAGCAACTCATTTGAAAAACAGTAAAATTGACATGATATCAGAGTTAGCCTTATAACAGAAGATTATATAGTAGAGAGTTTCAGTTATTTATATAACAGTGAGGACATAACAACCCCCTACTAAATAATCACATTTCTACAATACATTCCATCACCTCTTGACTACTTTTCTCTTTACAAAACTATGACCTACATACAATATACACATTCGTATCACACATACATCCCCCCCCAATGCATATTTTTGTGTGTATATATAATACATACATGCACACAAGCAGTCTAATTCTATTTAGAAGTCACAGTGGGAATTCCTTTGTGAGGAAAGGAAGGGAAAATTCCTGAATAAGACACTGTAGATTCCTAATGTTCCAACTTTTCAAATTCCAACTCACAGAGCTAACTGGAAATAAATACATTTTAAAAAAGAAAAGGTCTTACAAACTTGGTTCACAACTCCCAGCTACAGTAGTTGGATTTTTAAATTTGATCTATTTACCCTGTAACTAAATTTCTAATCATAGGTACAAACCACGGATAAATTATTGCAGAATGTAACACTCAAAATTTAAAAAGAGTTATAGGAACAGTAATATAAGGGTTAAAAAGAGTTCTATACTTGTTGATACAGGATACCATTTTATTTTATTTATATATATATCTATATATAGATATAGATATCTGCAAGGTAGCAAAGAATAGCTGTACACCTTGACACGGCAAAGATCCAGTGTAAAAAGGTGCTTCACTAGTTTGTTTTTCCAAAAAAAGCTTGTATATAATTTTATAGCTATTAAAAACACATATGCAACATAATTCATTACACTCAATACAGCTTTAGTATAAAACTTATAATTTATGAGGTGATGTTAATAGCATAAATTAATATACCATTTCTCTTAAAATCTACAATAAGTATTCTGAAAGCTCATTGGGGAAGGGTATCTTTAAATAAAAAGTTTAAAGCTGAGCGTGATGAAAAAGATTCTGTATGTTGAAGTTGAGATGAGAGCCCCGAGAAGAGAAAGAGTCCGTAAGCCAGACACTGTTGACTATAAAACTGAACAGAGATTTCTCCTTCTTGCGCTCTCACTTAGGTGACGCTCTACTTAAATTATTATTTACTTTTAAAACTATTAACTTTTTTCTTTTTTTCTTTTTTTTTCTTTTTTTTTTTCTTTTTTTTCTTTTTTTGTTAACTGCCCTTATTTCCACAAGGAATCCCTGAGACATACCCAAAACTGTACAGTGAAGGTCATCACTGTTCAGAGAAACTGGTTCAACCCCTTCTAGGATGTAGCTATTTTGCATGAGAATCAAAATGTCCATCACTTCAGAATGAATCTACTTGCACCAGAACCAACTACACTGTTTAAGATGCAGGTTAGAGAGTCATTTCAGGGTAAATCAGTCCACTCCAAGGTAGAAGCCAATGCCATCGCAGTTAGCTACATCAGAGCAATCTGCACCAAAGTTAAAGTTTTCCAGAGGATATCTGGGAACGTTACCTATCCAGAGTTCATCTCCGTGGGCACCAGCTGACAAGGAGAAAGCAGGTTAAACATTAGCATCACTGGACCAAGTTCAACATGCCTATGTGGTCGACACATGGGTAACTCTGGACATCTCACTGTGTGTGTGTTTGGGGGACTAGCGAGAGGAAGAGGAGGAAGAATGCGTTTTTCTACAGCAAGTACACTTTATGGTCAAAAGCCCAACGTTCATCCTATTCACTTTCAGACCAAATTCTACGACCTAGAGTAGACTGAAAAGGTGCCAACACTTACTTCAAGGAGACAGATAAAGAAAGCCTTTTCCAACTATTGCTCTCAACTTACAGCCACGCTCACTTTGTCCTTTCATGCTTCCACTACACTACTTCATTCCACAGTAGCTACAAAAGGAGCAGAGTAAAACAGGGCAAAGCAAAGAACTCAACAACCATAAGTACCAGATAGCAAAGGGAAAATAGTCAATACCGTTTGGGATTTTTTTTAAAAAGAGGCTGAAGACACAAGTGAGAGAATTGTTTTAAGATGCATATTTTCTAACTCCTTCTCCTTCCCCAAACTTTTTTTCCCAACAACAGTGCTTTTGTCTAGTTTTAAAGACAAGACTAAAAGTTTAACTGATCAGAACTAAGGTCTCTTATGACCAGACCTCTCCTGAAGTCCAAGTTGAAGTTTAGTGAACACAATATAGATTTTTGTCACCAACCCTCCTTACTTTTATTTGGGCTTGAGTGTATTAAGAAAGAGTAATTTAAATTTTAATTCGTGACTTTCTACTGATACACATCTCAAATGAAGAGGAACGTCTCAGAAGGTAAAATCTTGCTTAAAATGCCTCAACGTTCACTGCTAGCATATGCACTCCCATGATCAATGTTGTACCCTCAGCATCTAGTTCATGACATATTAGCATGCTGTGAAACATCTCCCTACTCACTGATATGAAAAATACTTTGATCTATTGCACTGTCATTCTAGCATCCAAATATATGTTATGAATTGCAGAAATCTCTCCTCCTGTTCATCTTACAGTCAGATTTGCTCAGAACCACAGAAGACTTACCAGCTGGCATAACTTACATTGGAAAGTAAGTGTCTGAGAATGGGAAAACAGATGCAAGAATGATGAAGAATGTGGAGTGGAAGGAAATAAAGAAGGTACAAGAAGTAGCCCACAGATCCCCATCATTAAACGTTACCCAGAAGATCAGAAAGACCTTGTGGTCAGAAGGTGAGAAAGACCTAAAGATCTGGCCAGCACACTAGCCCCAAACTATTCCTTCAGTTACTATTTCTGCCACTACTGGACCTTGCAAGAGGTCTGCACAGGAGACTCCTTCACATGTAGAAATACAAAAGGAAAAATACCCCAGTTCCACCAGGGAAACTGCCTGGACAGCCACACAAATGTTTCACTGCTGAAGGTCACTGCAGGTAACTTTTCTATTGTTTGTTGGCTGAAAGCACCTCCTACCACTGTCCTGCCAGTCTTGAAAGGTTAACTCCCTCTTCTCTGCCCAAAGGCTCATACTGCTGGAGAATTCGTGAGCGGATTTAGCTCACTGCAGCACAAAGACAGGGAGAAATACCTGTGGAGGCCTGACAATGCCTACAGGGACATCCAGCAGCAAGGAGGCTGCAGGAGCTCAGGGAGCAGCTGGAGCTCAGAAGCAGCATAGGTAGCCACCAGGGCCAGCTTCTCAGGGAAGAAAACTGCCCACTGTCTACTGTACACCTTTGCAGGACTCTCTTGGCAAGCAGATTCAAACCCAGAATGCATTTATATGTGGTTACAGCAAGACAAAGCTTCAAACTGAATTTGGCTACTGGTTTGCAGGTTCAGTCCTAGGTCTTTTTCCTTGGCCATGCCCCTAAAGCCAGTGACAGCTCACAGCAGAATATCCTAATTTTTCAATACTCATCTTCCTTTTATTAAAAAAATAAATAAAAGGCCACTTCCCTTGGCTTCTCCCTGCTATTAGGTACAATTCCTCTTTGACAATTTCTTTTCTCTGATTTTTGCCTAGCAGGCAATAAGCTTCTCAGGGCTTTCAGTGCTTTCCAAACCAGAACTGCAAATCCCCATTTTCAGTTGGAAATCTAGCTGTTGCCATTTTCCCCACAGTGCCTGAGGCAGACCTGCAACTGTGCTACCTCCCAGCATTATCAATTTAGTGCCTTTATGCTCAGCCATACATAGAAGCATGCTACTAATGAGAAGGGATCTAAGCAAGAACCCAGAGGAATTGGAAGGCAGGAGGATACAGAGTTCTTGTATCATAATTATGAAGCCAAAGAACAAATCAACTTTGAGGTATCTAAGTGCATATGGTTCCCCTCAAAGCTGGTGTAAGGTCTTCCTGGGTGAAAGGAAACGTCAAAGCATGTCTTAGAGAATGCCTTATGCACCAAGAGAGCATGAAGCTATTCCTGATAAGCCTCTGTACATTGTCAAAATTCATCTTGTGTTAAATACTTTAGTACAGAGACTAATTGAGGTGCTATTATTGCCAAAATTATGTAAATTATGTCTAATTTTTTCATTCTTTAAAACTCCAATCTTATGTGAAGGAATTAATTTTTAGGTTCAACTAGCCTTATTCCATTTGTCAACACATAAAGGGCACAACAGGTATTGAGCATCTGAAATTGCTACACTGGCTCTTTGGTGAAGGGGTGACAAGAATGCTAATTGCTATAAGAGCTGATACTCAAAAACATTTGTGAGGGAGCATGGAATCTACTTGGAAACCACATAAATAACAGCCTTGAGGACCACCTTAACCAGGCCAGCAGGATTTCCCAGAGGAAGAGGTGTGAAATATCTCTGACTACACATACCTCTCAATTAGATCTCTTGCATCCAACAGTAAGACACTGATGCACTGAAGTCAGCATGCTGTGGGGGTGCAGAAACCCACCTGGAATGATCCACCTTGTAAAGCTAAGATCAAGACCCGTAACTGCTTGGCAGCCATGTAACCATGGAATCGGTGGTAGTGAAAAAATGAGAGGTGAACCAGGAAAAGGCAAGAGTGGTAGCCTGTTTCAGAACACTGTGGCAGACAGGACAGGAAGATTCCTATTTCAATTGTATACAAATTGAAGTTTATTTTTGAAAGTGCAGTTTTATTGCAAACTTAGTTTGCTCATGGAAAAATGTAATGCAGTCAGTTTTGAGGGAAGAGTTGTCAAGCAATACACAAAGTTTGAAATCTAAGTGGGGAAAAGACTTGATGTCCCAAGCTACTTTAAAGAAACTCAGGCACATAAAGGCCATTGATTTCAAATGGTAATCATGGACCTCCATTGCTCTGACAGCTTCTGAAATTCCCTGTCTAAATCAATGCACAGATGAGGAGCTGGGTTCAGTTCTGAGTTAGACCACTACAAACTCACCGTGACCTTAGACTGGAAAGCTCCTCTGTAATTTAAACCAACACAACCAAGCAGAACTTGGCTCTCAGCTCCTATTATCCTCTCTTCCCCCAAGCATTTGCTAAGAAAGAGAAATGTGGTGTGGGGCAAATATACTCTGCACTAGCTGCAGCTTCATTAGAAGTTTGATGGGCACAAGAACCATTTCAAGACCAAAGTCCTGAAACCAATACATGGAAATTAACATCCTCTAAAATTACATGAATACACAAGCAGATGAAGGAATTAACCATTTGGTATACTAGTTCTCCACTTTTTTTCAGTCAGACATCCCAGCACATTGAAGAAGGTATATGAACACAACAAAAATCATCTGCAAATCAAACAGTTGTCTCCTCAACAAAGTATGGGTAACATAATATAAAAATAAATAAAAGCCTTGTCAGATTTGCCTCATTCACAATATCACTGGGCATTCCTCAATCAGCAGGACAATCACAAGCAGGATTTCATAGGCTTCAATTAAACTTTTTATGTGGTTTAAAAACATTTAAGTGTTACAAACATATTTAAATCACCACTTAAAATATTCGGCTTATATTATTAAGATCTATTTTACCAAGTATGAAATAATGACTTCATAACAACAGAAGCATGAAAATAATTTTTGTTTCTTCCACCCACATACACCTGCAATTTCAGAAAAAGACATATGCATCATCCATACTCTTTTATATTTAAAGAGGACAGATCATTCAAGAAAAGAGGGATAATATGATTGCTACAATAGTAAGAAGACACAAGACCTATCCCATTTAAACTCTGTTCCTTAGGAAGATGGAAGGAGAGGTTTGAGTCAGATATTTTGGTGTGTGCCTGACTGCTAACAAAATGAATTTCTATAGCAACTAAACTCCATTCAGTGATCCTTTGCTCAGAAAATGTATTAAGCCTTCCTATTACATGTGCTTGGTTCTCTTAATTTCCTGAAATAGACTAGAATTCACACAGGTAGAATAAAATCCATCATATACAGTACAAGACTGAAATGTAGAATTTTCTATTTTCTCTCATCTGCATCTCTGAAACAAACCAAGAAGAGTAGATACTTGTATTAAACAGGATCTACTTTTACAGTCCAAGTCAGGGTACAGTAGCAAGTTTGAGCCCTAGAGAGTCATAAACAAATTCCTTCTTGATAAGGAGATGCAAGTGAACACCTCAGAATTTCTGCTGCAATTACCTCTTGGTTGAAAGAACAAAATTAAAAAATAATTATTATTTTAAGAAATCTAAAACCTAACTGACTCTTTTCTTTAGGAACTGCAATTACTACCAAAGAGTAAATACTGTCATTAGCAGGTGATCAGAACAAACAAAACCATCCTGCAGACAGAAGGAATTGTTACCTATTTTGCATTAGTGATTTCTCTTTTGGTTTGCCATGACTGCTGATAGGTACCTGCTAGTTCCTTACGTACATTCAGCTTCCCAGAGCATCAAACCCTACAAGTGTTGGAAAAACTATATGGCTCTCAGAGGATTAAAAACTGTCCAAGAAAGTCTCACTAGTTAGACATATTGTGAGAAATGCATCCATTTGAAACTTACAATGGGTCTGACCTAGACTTGTGTGGATGGGCAGAAAACCAACCTAATTCTTCCTGTTTCAGCTGGGAAATTCCCGTCAGCCTGTCAGGCAAAGAGTTCTGGACAAAGACACACTTGAAAAGGCAAATCATCAATGCTACAAGGCCACAGTAATTCAGCAAGGAAGGAAATTTCTCACAGGAATCTTCTCTAATCCATGATCTATATTTCAATCCTTCTGTTTCTTTTTGTTTTCCTGGGCTAACTTCGTAACAGCCTTCAAATTTATGGGCAACCAGTCAACTGATCTCTTTGTTACTCAATGAATTACAAATCGTGATAATAAAAAAACCCAAAAATCAGCATGCAGTAAAAACAGTGACCAGTTCTGGAAGGGGACAACTACTTCTTCACCAAAAGAAGAAAAGGAATTGCTGCTCCCTGCACCCCAAACACACACACACACAGAGGAGGTCAAGAGACTATTTCAAGAAACTGCCAAACTCATCCTTGAATTGTGATCTTGATTTAGGACTTCAGTGCACCACTCTCAAATCAATGTGTGCAGCCAAGTTTTCTATGCCAAATGCTACCTTTGGAAAAAGAGTAAATTAAAAAAAAAAAAAAAATCAAGAGATTCCTGCCCACTGGAAAACCTTCTACCAGATGCTAATGGGATGACAAGCACTGATCCGAACCCTAGGGATCAGTAACATGCATCAGTGATCTGAGGTATCTTCCCATTTCTAGGTCTTACTGCTAATATCATTTACATCCAGTAACTGTGCTGCATCCTTAAGGAATTATTGGGGAACAGTGAACCTGCCTGCAATAAATGAGCACCGGTGCCTAACGAGCACATGTGAATGCTACAGCAAGGTTCACAGAGGGCTAACCCTGGTCAGTACTGAAGCAGGGGTTTTCTTCTCAACCCCCTCTTAAAAAAAAGGGAAGAGAAGACAGACAAAATAAAGAGAAAGGAAAAAAGGAAAGATAGAAAACACAGGTCCCCCATCTACCTGCAGGGAGCCAGGCAGACAAGCTCAGTTGGAGGTGGTGAAGGGCGCGGATGCGTTATTGGTACTGGTAGCGGTGGCACCGGTCACTGCGAAGCCCGTGGGAGGAGCTATGGAGCTGTGGCTGGGCTGCAGGTCCTTGGGAATGCCACTGTGGGAGCTCAGCTGGTGCCCAAAGGCTGCGCTGAACTGAGGGAGCTGTTGTTTGGGGGAGGTGGAGCCCATGAGTTCAGCGGAGGCAGGACCCATGCCACTGAAACTGGTCTGCGGTAACCCCGGAAGCACACTGGAGCTGTTGGGGGTCACAGTGGCGAAGGCAGGCTGTGTGGTCTCTGAGTGCGAGGTGGTAGGTGGTGTGGACAGGGAGGTGGACAGGAGGTGTCCATCTGCACCAAGAAGGTTGCTAAACGGAGAGGGGTCCCCAAGATTGACAGGAAGATTTCCCCAGTGAGTTCTGGGGTTGACCACCCCGCTAAGTGGCACGTCCAGCTGCGTTGGGAGCAAGTGCTGTGCCATCATGGGCATCTCTGCTGAGAAGGTAGCTGCCAAGTTATCACCAGAAAAGGATGTGGTGTGAGGGGATGTGATATGGTCACTGTAGGGAGACGGCACATGCTCACTATCATAATGGCTTCCATGGGGTGAGGAGTGTGAATGGTCACTGCTGTATTGCTGTCGTGAGGTGATCAGGTCATCTGCCTTGCTCAGCAGCTGGGCAGGGTGGGGCCTCTGGGAGGCATGGCTGCCATCATGAAGTCCATGAAACTGTCCCGGGAAGGCTCTCTCCCCAAGGCCACTCTGGCTTATCAGAGTGGCAGAAGTAAGGCCAACGTTGGCTGGGGCTGAGAACTGCCCCTGGATCTGCCCTGCCAGGGGCGTAGGTGGGTTGGACAAGGTAGCAGAACGGAGCAAGTTCTCATCCAGCTCCAGAGCGGAGAAATTATCGTGTACTATACGCCCATTCAACAGCTCCCCCAGATCCGTGTTAACCTCTCGACTCAAGGACTGCATTCCTGGAGCTCCAGCACCTGTAGAGAACACCCCTATCGCTCTATCTGACAGCTCCTGAACTGGCACGCCATCTGTCTGTGTAAGTACTCCAATGGTACTCAGGCACTCAAGAGAAGTTACAGCCTGCAGGGCCCGTTCCAGTTCTTCAGCCTCTTCTGTGGTTGGAAGAAGATCTCCATTTTTACCTGCAGAAACAGGGACACCACCAATTAGTGCACTGCTCTCAGGTGAGCCTGGCCCTGGCACTCAAAGGATGAAGATGTACAGACAGTTCAGTACAGAGTTGCATTGTATGACAACCTTCCAGCATGGTTTGCAGTACAGAGAAAGTATCATCCATCAGTGTTCGCTAGACAAGCAAGGTAAGAAAACCATGAAATTACACCTTCCTCTTCAATGGAAATCCCCCTCTTCCCCTTCTCTTCCACATACTATAGTAGGAGATGCCTCTTAAACTTCCTAGACTTAAAAGTAAAAATGCTGAAGTAAGATCTTCAATGCTGCAATAACACATGGTCTTCTTTCTACATACCACATTGCAGCCTGGGCCTAAAATTTACAGAGACAGTATAATTCAGGTTAATTTCAATTCAAACACAGTCTGATGTCACATATCAGAAAATGACCGAAGAAATCACATACCCAACTCCAGGCTGTTCTAATTTCTTTGTTATACATTATAGGTACTGAGCTTTAGAATGCAGAAATTCACATTTCTGATCAAAAGCTAGTTTCAAAAATGTATTTAAAGATTTTATTCTCACTCTCTTCTCTTTTTATCAAAGGCCAACATTGACTGTGATTCCAGCCCCACTCGATGGCAGAAAGATGCCATTACTGAGAACACTCCTGATTAAACTGTAACACTGACAGGCAGTAAAAATGTAAAATGAATTATTAAAATACTAAACCAATTATGATTCTCAGAGCAGTAATTACATGAGCAAGCAGAGAACTATGCACACAGCCTTCTTAAAGTCTGCTTTACTTCAGAGCTCCCAAACAATAGAGCAAACGCACACTTCCTTCTCTAGAATTTATTACCTCTGTAGGAAAGCAAGCAACTCCTCAAAATGCAGTTTAGAAACACTCACTTCTTCAGTTCACTGACTGTGTTCATGCTAGCATAAAATAGAATGGTACCTTCAAAGAAATCAAAATCTTGCAAGTCATCAGGCAGCCGTGGCAGGACATCAGAGAAGTCCTCCTGATTCAATTCCAAGTCATGTGGAATGTCTGTGATTTCATTGGCGATATCATCAGGCAGCTCATCGGCACTGAGTTCTGGAGTGGAGGGACTCCTGAACAGAAAGGAACATTAGTCCCTGGTGTTCAACTCTGCTTGCTCCAAAGGACAACTATCACTGCACATCCATCTACAATGGATGCTTCCCCACACATTTTTTCCTCCATTATCTAGGGAAAAAATGCTTTTAGGTAGTGTCTTTAGGAAGCTTACACTTAGGCTACTCATTAACTACGTAAGAGGCAACATCAGGAGCAAGATATTTTACCCATCAAACCCAATCATTGCTCAAATCCAAAATGACCCACTCTAAAGGTTTTTTTCAACAGTAACATGGAGATGGAATTTTTAGCCCTGCTCCCGATGCTGCTTGGCAGCTTTGTACAGAACTCACTGGCAGCGCTCAGGCCAGCAGTGGGAAACTGGGCAGGAGCAGCACTGACCGTATGTGGGGTATGTCTACTGGCAGTGAGACAGTGGCAGGCATGGTGAGGTTCCCTTGGGGCACTGCAGGAGGAATGGGTTTCTGGGGCCGGCGTGGGCCTCGCCTTCTCTTCTTCTTGTGTTTTTTGGTAAGTGCAGGTGGCTTCGTTTTTTTCCTGGGTTTCCTCTGCTGCTGGTGCTGAACTTTACGGGAGCTGTCCCCTCTCAAGAAATTATCCTTTGGGAGCAAAACAATACCAATGGGAGCATATTAAGAACAAGTATTACTTTCCTAGCTTTTTTCACCCTGGTCATTCCACATGCATGTGGAATGTAAGGCAAGAGGAACTGTTAGCTTACACACAGACAGTTTCAAAAATTGAGCTGTTTCCTTCCTCACTGACCCCAATGGCAAAAATAACACAGACCAAGTTATGAGATATTGTAAACTGGAGATTGTGCAGTTTCGCTTTAAAAATTATCATAGCAAACCCTAACTAAAAAGTGCAAAACTGTAACCTTTAGCAGCACTCCTGTAAGTATTAAAGACAAAACGCTGTTGTGAGGTGGTGTTAATGTGGATAATAGGCAGCAGCTGAAGCCACAATCCTCAAGTGCCTGCTGACATAACAGAGGGACAGCACAGAGGAGACAAAATTAATACTGCTGGACTAGGATAAGGATGTGGGTAAACAATTAAGCGTCTTTGCTTCTAAACAGCAATCACTGACACATCATCAGTCTTCAGTTGCCATCATACTGGGTATGGCAGAGGATTATACTTGTTACAGAGGTAAACCTTGAGGGACAAACTGAAGATTGCCTAGAAGAGGGGGAAACCCCACGCAGATCTGTGTAGCACAAACCCTCACATTTTAAGCCAAAAAAACTCCCTAATTCACAATTTTAGGAGGCTGGACAAAAACAGTAACAAAAAACTTCTAATAACCCAACAAAACAACAAAAAAAGTAGTTTTACACCTAGTTGAAGGTAGGACAAGAAGCCTTGAAGAAGTGGGTTTGTGAATTATCATAAAGGTTTTGTTTTGGAAGATTGGTATCTTAAAAAGGAGAGCAGAGGACATCAACTTCATTTCTCCATTCTCTCAGCTTGAGGTAGGGAGGTAGGCCACTGCTTTTTCTCTGGGATCCATGGATCCCTGAAGGAAGTTCGAGATAATTCTAATAGTTACTAAAAGGTAAATAAAGTAGCAAACCCATTATTTGCATCCTTGTAATTGCTATTTACATTACCTTTAGAAAGTACTTTGGGCCCTGTGTACTGAGACTGTTTAAGATGCAGTATTATTAATATCACACTTATATTACATTCAGATCCAAGGACCAGGAGTGACCCCAAATAAATCACAGGATCTCTCACAATGATCTTCTATTTCTCAATTTAAGACAGCAATCAAATTTCCTCCAGTGAAGAATACTGCCATGTATACTTCATTATATCCTCAAAACTACATAAAAGATTTTCACAACATACTTTATACTAACTGGGAATGTTTGTCTAGTTTTACCCTTTTAAGAAAAATAATAGCAAACAAGCTCTTAAGTTCATAAACTTGCTAGTGGTCAAGGAAGACTTCATAAGAATACTGGGGTTAAAACAAAACTCCTGATCATCCCAATACACAAATAAATACAATGATGGCTTTGTACTTACCATTTTTTTGGCATGTTCTTCGCACAGAGGTGTCTGATGTGTAATGTCAAAAACTGGCACAGAGCACTGCTGACCATCTGCAAACTTGGCTGTGCAACTCGAGAAGAGCTGCTGAGAACGGTTCAATAAGATATCTGTGCATTTCTGCATCAGGAATAACACAAGACAGTGGTGGAGGAACGCCCTTTGATTTATCAATCTGATAAAGATCAGAGCCTTCAACTCTATCTGTCCATAGATACTATTTTTAATGAGTGCCTTAAATTTGCTATTCAAGTTCAAAGCTAGGTAAGGCTGAAACCCAACTTTTAAAGTGAAAAACTGCATTCATGCAGAATCTCTAATGATTTTATTATATACTGAGATAGTTTTATAAAAGCAGCTATTTCACTAATGAGTTCTTAGCAAAAAGAAGCCTTTTCCTGGAGCCTTAATCAATAGATCAATAGTAGCAGTTGGAACAGTGTAGTCAACAGGACTATTTCCTTACAGACTAATGACAATCCATACTGAAACATTAAAGAAAGAGTATTTCTTAATTCAATCTTTTAAGGTACATTCTTGGCATTTATCTTTAGAGCACAGACAAAGAAGTTTCAAGATCCTTCCTGCTCCTCTGAAAAAAAAGATGTGCAAGCAGACAGAAAGGTCAAGTAAATCCAAACGTAAGCTTGCTGAGATTTCCTTCAGAAAATCCTTAGCAGGAGTAAAAATGTTTCCAGACTTACAGCAAATCAAACAGATATTTCATTGTGTCCTTTTTCAAACAGCACTAGAAGCACTCCTTCCATCTTGAACAGTTCTCAGACCTCAACATCACTATGTATGTTTATAAAATGTTAAAACAAAGAAAAAGGACAAAGAAAATGAAAAACCTGCAGAACAATCCAGACAGCAGACTTGGATGGATGGGTCAGAACCAAGAACCTGTTCATTTTAGAGAAGGAAATGCAGAGAGAAAAAATGGGCATACATGCAAAATCACTAGTTTTGACTATCCTGCTCTATACACACCAACAAGCGAGACCACTTAAAATTAAAAACTACTCAAACAAAAAAATCCCAACAGAACCAAATACTGCTGTATGCCATGGTGCTCTCTCATAGAGGTTTGCAACTGCTCTGCAAACTGCTTTTAAGCAGCCTGCAAAAAATCAAACAATAAAAACAAGGCATCTGCAAAACAAAAAGATTGGAAAGGTGGTGCAGTCTGACAGTGGCTGAGTACATCAGCACGAGTCACTTTTAATACCAAAACCAAAAGTTCCAACAATAGGAGTCACCCCAACAAAAGCACCAACAATTCTTCAGCTAAAAACAAAAAAAAAAGGCTCCAGAATTTTTAAGTATTACAAGTCATAAGTCTGCCTTTTTATAATCTTCAGAACCAAAACTCACATCTATTGTGCTCTCTTCTTTCTGAGATCTTCAGCCATTGACTTTCAACATTCTTTCCAGGCTTTGTTTGAAATTCCAAGCACAGGGAACCCTTCCTCATCTGGACTAAGAGGTTCTGTGACTCCTTCTATTCTGCTTCTTTAAACAACGCAAAGTATGATTTCCATCTTTCTAGTCAGTTTAAGCCCTCTTTTTATACTATGTATAAACCTTTTTCCATGAAACTGGCACAGGAAGGTGGTCTATTGGAATCTACTAAGAGCTGTATGAAAGCCAGGAGGCTGAAAAGCACATGGTTTGTACCAAGTCATTGTGAAGGATGATCATTTTGTAAAGGTTTCTTGCCCACACGAAATACAGCTCACAAAGTAAAATGATGTTCCTATTACAAATGCCAGTAGCAGACTACTTATCCTCAGTGTCCATATACCTAAATCACACAGACAAATTAAAACCAAAGAAGTTGCTTTTGTTAGTATGATGACATACTAACAAATAGGTATTTCTTTGTGAAAACTTAGTTGTCATGCATAAATCTAACAAACAAAAAAAATCCCCTAAAACAGAACAGCTTCCATGCCTGAATGCCACTCCCAAACAGAGTTAAGAGGATACGCTGAAAACAGTGCCTGGTGAATGGAAGGGCCTTGTTAGTGCACTGCTCTCCCTTCGAAGTCCCACTGCAGGTTGTTGGTTCTGCATCTCTCTGCCTTGCTTGGCTTGTGCTGAAAAGAAAGCATAAAAGAGTTTACAGACAACCCCCCAGTCTTGTGGTTACTTAACACAATTATTATACTGAATGTAGCACAGTAGGATGAAAAATTGTAACACACGTGTGTGTGTCATGATCCAGATGGGTGCACACTACTACCAAGCTCTACACAGGGACACAGAATAGATGTCAATGACAGGTGAAGGTGTGACTGTAGTAACAGGATTATTTCTTATTTCACAGGGCCTTAATTGTAATGAGAGGTGCTATGTTACAACACCTTGCAACAGAAAGGGCAGCAATAGGTGAGTGTCAACACAGGTGACCCTCAAAATGAGGTCAGTCTTTAGAATTCAATGAACTGGGTATGCCTAGATGGGAGTCAAGTGCACTTCCAAGCCTGTTCATAAATCCAAACATGCCGAGCATCCCCAGAGCTTACATGCAAGCATGTGCTCAGACAAACTGAGACTGAGCTCTGGAGTGGCAGAGCCTGAGCGTGCTCAACATGGATAAAAGCTCTCCTTCATCAACGTGCTACAGCCCAATCCACCAGCAGGTGCCCGGGGCTCTCCCAGCACAGCCTCTGTGCTCGGAGCCTGAGCTGCAAGCAGGCGCCAGGCAGCGGTGTGGACGGGCACTGAAGCGTTACACAGCTCGCTCGGGTGGCCTGCTCTCCAGGCACGTGTCACCTTCATGGAGATAAAGCTGGCGATTCCAGGGCTCACTTGCACCTCTGTACACGTTGTTTTCTAGGTTGACAAAAAGTTGTCTGTAGCCTGACTGTTTTCCTTCAGCCATTTCTGTCATCAACTGCACTTTGACTGAGCAAAGTTTTAGTTAGTGGCATTACTCCTGTGAAAAATTTTCTATCTGAAATGACTCGGTGGTTACTTAAATTGACCAGAGCAGTGATGACAGGCATACCTGGCTTTGCTGGTCTACCCAAAACAATGTAAACTTTTTTGCTCAACAAAAGGCAAAAATAATAGGGAAAAAAAAACCAGCAAGAGCTTGTCAGTTCAGGTGAACTTTTGCTGTAGTGTTTAAGTTTGGAGAAATTTATACACGACTTCGTAAACCGGTAATGGACTTCTACATTACACCTCAGAGCAGTTCTTCAGAATCAGTCCACCTCCCCAACAATGAACACTTCAATTGTCATGAACACATCCCACTGAACCAGGAACAAAAGCATCCCCATTAAACAAAATATACTCTCAATACCTAGCTCCAATCTGCATCTCATACTATACACTGCACCCCACAGTCACACATCCTGTAAAGCAAAACCCCAACAGCAAAAGGATGCTTCTGATACCCTAAATGTAACACCAGGGTTCAGACTTAGTCTGTTCCTGCATGAATATGAATCAACCAACTCTCCATATGCTGAGAGCTAGAGGGATGTTGACATTAACTAGAAAGAATTCCCACAGAAGATAACCTTCAAAGTTGTTAGAAGTTATGTATTTTGTTGCCAAGTTTTATTTAATGTTAGATTGAGCTAAATCTAACAAAAAGCATGAGTTTAAATTTGCTGGGAGGATAATTAAGAGGAGGTACAGATTTTCAAAAAAAGCTGTCTGAAAAACAAAATCTGAATTGGAGCAGTGAACTATAGACCAGACTGCACACCTTCTACTGGCACAGTAAAGGACCAGATATTTGGGTCCAGAAACTGCTGAACAAACCATCCCCATTTTACAACATAAATCTGGAGAAGGCCTGTCTTCATGGAAAACTGTATGCCACGTTTCTTTTACTCCACTGAGAGGCATTTACGTGTCATGTTTTCCTGCCTTGTTGTTGACTCCCGGTTTCAGAGCTCATCATTTCAGCTGCGGGATGCTCAGCCCGCGTCCCCCTGCCCAGCCCCAGGCCCGTGCAGCGGCAGGGCGGGTCTAACCTGGTGCAAGCGCACGCAGCCCTCCGGAGCTCGTGCAGGAGCTGCCCCGCGCGCTCGGGCTCCCGGCTGGCCGCCTGCAGCAGCGCTTTCCGCAGCGTGTGCCGGCATTTCTTCTGCCGCGATTCTGCCCGCTCCAGGCGGCACAGGTGCTTGTATTTCTGCTGAAAGTAAGTGCAAAGTCTGGTCACCCTGGAACTCCTGTCATCTGCATTGTCATCATCGGACCTGAAGAAGGGAAAATAAAAACAAATATGCTTTAAGATACTACTTTTTTTTTCCCTGCTAAGCTAATTTGTCATTCTAATAGAATTGTTAAATTGGCATCCATCTTCTAGCCGCACAAACATCCAAATGCTGAAATCAGGCAGTGTTACTTGAGAAATAGCAAGAGCAGAATCCCTTTCAAATTCTAAAGGTATTTGCCCTTCTTAGTATGTCATTATTAGAGATTACATCAATTTATCATCAAGTCTGACACATTTAAATGTCTAGAGCCTGCTGTTCAAAAAGAAATCTATACTGTTAACCTTTATTTACTGTAGATGTCACAGCAAATGAGACCAATCTTAAATCAAAGTGCAATTAATGGAGAAGACAAGGGTGGGGAATTGTATAGTAGAAATTTATTGGGGAATGATCATGCTGGAGAAGATGGTCAAATTCTAACAAGTACCTAAGCTTCTGACTTCTTCCAATTCCTTTTACTCTTCCAGGTGGTATATTCCTTTTTAAACCAAAATACACACTATTAACAGCTGACAGCTGATACTGATTTCCCCTTGCTGCAGAGTTGCAGTTGAGTTACGGTACAATAATAGAGAAGAAATTCATATTTAACTCAAAGATACTGAGGGAAAGATCAAACCAGGGCTAAGCAATGACTGGAAGAAGGACTAATCCAACTCTGTGTTGGCTTAAGAAAGCCCTTCTCCATTTATCTTGGCTCTCTGAATGTCCAGGCACATATAAACAAGACCATCAAACCATGTCAACACATTCAGTTAAATGAAGTAAAAGTCAGTTAAATGAAACAGAAAATTATCACTGGAACTTGTTAAAACAAGGTCCATGAAGCTACCCAGAAGTTCTCTACAACAAGCACTAGTTTGCAGAATGAGGTTTTTTTCATGGAGCAACAAAATGGATGTGCTGAATCTAATCAGACTCTGTTTTCCCTCTAATTTTTAAAAACTCTGAGATTTTCCTCTAATTTTTTTCCCATAGAACAGAGAAACTTTTTGCCAACTTTCCTATTTGTAACACAAAAAAAAAAAGGGCAGGAGAGAGAAGAGAAATGCAAACAAATGAAGCAAATCAAAAGCTGGCAATGTTCAGAGCCCATGGGACTGCATGAGCTGACACCCAAACCTGCACACAGCAAAGGAGGCCACCACTGAGACACAAGAGACATGAAATACCAACCATAATATTTACTAAATAAAGTAAGATCCAGAAATGCAGACAGCAGATCTGTCCCTGAAAGGCAGTATGGTGAAGACCTACTTTCTTCTCTGCAAACTCTGACTCTATTTACACGCAGCCCAAATGGAAGAGACTGCAGCCATCTCCACTGAGGCTTTCCACAAAAACCTTTGACACAAATGCATGTTTTTGTGAAGATTCATGTAAAAACCATACTATGTATTTTGTCTGTTAAAACAATTTACAGCTTATTTTCTAGAAGCATAAATTACAAGTACTTAACCTCTGCAATTACATGCTTAGCAGCAAATACAATCTATGTTAAAAATATTTAACATATGCAATGTTTAGAATATTTTTACATTGAAAATTAAAATAAAATACACTTTTAAGATCTTTTAGGAAAGAATGATTACTGGGGAAAACTACCTGTTCAGAAAAAATTGACTGTGGGCTATTTAATATAGATTTTCCTTTTCCAATGTATTACTAAAGGAGGAAAACATAGATAGCATATATATTTATTGGTAGGTTTAATATCTTAGCTATTTCATTACTGCTCTGGGCCAAGACTTTTAAACAAAGTAACTGATTTATTTTTAAATATGGTTAAAAATTAACTTTAAGAATACCAGAAGTATTCCTTAGGGGAAAGAAGTTACTTTCATGTGAAAGAGTGTTTTTTAATATACATTTCTCAATATTTGCGACTTTTTACTTCTCTCACATTGAAAGAGCCAGAAAAAATGACATTGTATGCTAAAATATTTTTGATCCTCAGTTTATGAGATCTTTTTAAAAAATAGATGAAGACATATATCAAAGGTATAGAAAGAAATCATGCCTGCAGTGTGCAAAGGCTTATTTTGAGCCAAAATTTCTAAAAGCCAGTTTCTAAAAACCTGTCCAGAACTTTGTTCCCAGGCCAGTAAGATTAGCCAAAACATTTATATGTTTAGGTTCAAAGAAACCTAAAAATATCAAAATAAAACCTTTTTTCTTCAGTAGGCATGAAAATAAAAGATACTTTTATTGTTGCTCTTTCATAAGCAAGTTTGCCAAATTCTATTTAGTTTATTTTCCTAAGCTGCATATAGAACTTCTGAAGTTCAACTTTACGTGTGGCATTTCATTTTTACAAAGAATTCTGAAAGTGCACACAAGCCATTTGATAATCCAAAATGCTTTCTCCCAACCTTTCCCTTTCAGACTGTCATGTGGAAACATCAGGGGGATTATTGCTGAGTGTTCCTGAAGAAAACAAAGACAGCATGAAGCAGCAGAAAGGAAGAGCAAAAGGGTGAGCAGCCAGGCACCACCAGGGAACGAGGAGAACATGCTCTCTATTCTGAGACAACCCAGCAACTATACTTCAAATCCCTCCTTACAGAGTGTTTTGAAGAATCTTCCCTTCTTTCTTTTAGTTATTTTACTTATTGGGAGTTATTAAATCCAACTTTTGACAACACAATGTTGATATTTAATCCTTTGAGGGAGGTGGTATGAGGAGGGACTCATACTCCTTTTTCAAACTTGCTACTTGAAACGTTTGCTTTATCTATATTTCAGAGTATGAAGTGAAAAAATACTTTGTTATAAAGTTACATGTTTTCCAGCACTTTCTAAGATACCAGAGTCAGTAATCAAACAATCTAGGGGGAAGCTTCAGTAATCTGCAGCAGGGAACAGCCCCTGCTTGCTCTCCAAATTGCTGCTCCCACAAGGGATTCCTCCCACCCCAGCAACCTTCTCTGCCAGCATCCAGCCTGCACCGTGCCCACTGCCAACTCCTGTGCTATTGGAACTCAAACATTTGTGCCTGCCTCGAAGCACTGCGTCCTGAACTCCTGGGACCATAGGAACACAATTTTTCAAAATTAAAGCACAGAATAATAAAAGCAAACATTTGGCCTGCGTTTCCACAGATGATTGCAACAGTATGAATTTTACAGATTAAAAGGCCAGAAGGCAAGTGAACCAAAAAATGTACTATTGTTGTCACAGTTTAACCTCATCCAGGAACTAAGTACCACAGTGCTGCATGCTCCCTCTTCCTGCATGCTCACTCTCCCTGCTTCCACCAGTGGGATGGGGAGGGGAATCAGAAAAAAACCACCTTGTGGGTTGAGCTAAGAATAGCTTACTAATGAAAACAAAGTAAAATAGACTACTACTATTTATTGTAATGAAAAAAAAATTAATAAATAAACCCCAAGAAAAACAAGCGCCTTATACAGCTGCTCAGCACCCACTGACTGATATTCAAGCAGCAATTGGCTCCCCCCATTTTATGTCCTGGCCATGATGTTCCAGGCTGTGGAGTATCCCCTTGGCCAGCTGGGGTCAGCTGTCCCAGCTGTGCTCCCTCATGGCTTCTGGTGCACCCCCTCTCTGGCAGAGCCCAGGGAAATTAAGTGTCCCTGACTTAGGGCTAGCACTACTTAGCACCAGCCAAACCATCAGAGCGTTATCAACGCTGTTCTCCTACCCGACCCAAAACACAGCACTGTGCCAGCTGCTAAGGAGAAAATGAACACTATCCCAGCCCAAACCAGGACACTGTTAAGACATTAATTTTAAACAAATCTGGTGAATTTTTGGGAATTTAAGAGCAGCTAGAGTATCACACAAGAAGTTCAACAGAGGTTTCTCCCACAATCACACAAGCAGAAATGCTGAGAAGCAGCTGCACAGTGAAGCAGAAATTAACTGTTCACTTTCTTTCAATAGTCTATTCTGAAAAGCATTACTCTCACTGTCTTCCATGCAGTCAAAAGGAAAAAGACAGAATGCAGTCAGCTGGTGGGGACCACAAGCTCAGACACAAACAAACAGAAAAAAGAGCTTTAATTTTACTATGAAAACCAGCAAGCAAATCCCCTAAGTTTAGGTCTTTAGTTTAGATTTCAAAACCAGAAAGTTTTGGGTAATAATCTCCATTAGTTTTCTGGTAAAATAAGTCCCCAGAATTCAGAGTTGTAACAAGTCACTGGCTGACTTTAGGAGGCACCAGTCTGTACCACCAGATCAGCAGGACAGAGTCATTTTGACAAATCAAATCTCCCCAGAACAGCCTGAACTAATTCATCTTCAGCAGCAGGCAGACCACACTGCAGAAGTGTCAAAGTGAAACATTTCAGGTAATAAAAACCACTACAGAAGTTTGCAGAATAGGAACTCAAGTTTTAGAAGGTTGACATCAAGTGACTGCTTATCCATGGCCAAAATTAGTAAGGTTGCTGAAGAGCTAACACTGAGCAGGCTGATGAAGTACAAAAGCAGCCAGTTGCATTCAAAAATTTATCCATCATGGATAGTAAAGACAGCATTTAACTGAGGTGCACAGAGTGCTAGAATGGAAAAGAAAATGTCAAGACAAGGTATTATTTTCTCTCAGTATGTGAAAAGAGTAGGAAGAATCCAAAGGAAGTTAAGACAAATAGAAGACAAAACACACAGAGATGACCTTTATAAGTTCACAAAAAAATAGGAATCTATGGAAGAATCAAATCAAATGTCAAAGAAAGAAGAGTGTAAGGGAAGTTATTTAATAGATATATCTGCTGTGAAAAATTATGTATGATTTAGAAGTCTGAAAGTCTGTCCACAATTTCCCAGAACATTTTATTTAAAAGTTGCCTTTTAAGTTAGAAGTAATGTTTGTGAAAGGTCACTCTAAAACTGCTGATGCCCTAAAAAATGGCGGTTGTTCATAATAAAAAAAGACTCCTTTATTTTAAAAAAGTGAAGTCTACACTCTGCTTAATAGCTTTGATTCACTGAAGGCTCTTAATACTTAGCATCCTGGTGTGTGTTCTGATGAGAGAGATACAGCTTTGTGGTTCACCTTGAGGATAATCTTCAGAGATGGCAGGAAATTCTAGTAAGTTTCAGAATTTTCAGAATGTAACAACAAAATAAGGTTTCATTAACATCATTATTCTAAGCATGATAGCTAAAAACTAAAAAAATAGGGGAAAGTTGTAGAATCAAATAGTCCAGTTGCACATTGAATGAGAGTCATGTTACAGAACCTATAATCAAATTCTAGTGAGACCTCAATTTCTTTGTTAATGACATACAACAGTATTATAATATTACACCTGGGATGCTTTGTTTTAATTGTGCACCTTCAAATTTACATTAGTAGACCTATATTATCATATCCTGCTCTAAGTTTAGATTTATGACTTAGCAGTATATAGAGAACATCATAAGCCTTTCTGCACCAGCAGTTAATTCCTGCTCTGTTTATCCTTTTGATCCCAAGCTCACAAGCTTCCTTCCAATGCTCACAAGTACTGACAGAGGTTTATTCAAAACTTAATTATGAAAAGAAATACCATGGCCTTTTAAAATCCCCATTAAAACAATAGCCTGCATAATTATTACAAGAATTAATGAGTAAAATGTAGCAAGTTTACTGACAAAGTTATTAACAACCAGTAGGAAAGACAAGAAACCAATAACAACCCCATTTGATTCTAATTCAGCACCTCCAATCATCAAAGCACACAAGTTCATGAATAAATCCCACTAAACTCAATTAAATTCAGGCAAACAAGCTTAAATCCTTTCCTGATGCATCCTTCTGATAGCAGACTGCACAAAGGTCTCTAAGTTAGCTGGAAACTGGGACAGAAGGCGACAAGCTGTTCCATAGCTCTTACAAACAAATGAGTTCAAACAATCCTTTGTTTCAGCAAAACACTTGAACAAGTGCTTAGGTTCCACTGACTCCACTTGAAGTGAAGCTCACATTTACATGATTTATTCCATCAAGGCCAGCATGAATACTAAAGAATCATACTCACTCAGGTCTCTCATAGCCAAGGCTTTCTCGGATAGACCACGCGACCTGGTAAGGGGAGGTTTGCTCTGAATCCTCCAACTCTTCTCCACTGTCTTCAGACCAATCCAGCCCTAAGGGAATTGAAAATATGGAAACTGGATGAAAAGAGCGTCCACCTCATATAAGCCTCTGAGCAACCTTTGGCACAAAAGATAAATGTACAATATAGTTGCAAGCATAATTATGTTTGATTAAATTATGCAGCATTCTCAATTATGCAGGAAAAGCTACAGTAACAGCTCCACTACAGTGTGCAAATAGCATGCACTGATTTTTATCATAACTGAATTTTCCTTTTAAAATCCTTATTGGCTTCTTTACCCATAAACAGTGCAAGAAAAATCACCAACTCTCTTACCCGCAGAGAAATACTAGTTTTCATAACCAAGTGCAAAGTAAGAGAGAAGTCCCTGTCATGAAGAACTGACTACTTGGAAATTTTAATACTGTATGATCTAAATAGGCCAATTTCATTTCTGTTTATATTCTGACCCCTTTTCTGCGCCAAAACATGGAAGAATATGAAAACTGGAAGACACAGCAGCAGGGACAGAGATAGATACACAGCTACCCAGGATGTTCCTCTGCTCAGTCTCTGTAATTGCCTGCCAAATGCACATATTAGTGGGAAGAAAGAGCTAAAGGGAGACATACAAACACTCCAGCACTTTCACCAAGCAGCATGTTTTCACTTAATGATGATGCACTATGACCAACTTACAGTGTGCTCCAGCAGCCTCAGTTTGGCCAGAAAGCAGCCAGTAAGTTCTCAGGTGGAACATTTTATCTGGAGCTTCATCTTTTGGTTTTTTTCCTATTATCTCTCACACACCCAGTGAAATTCTCGCCACTTTATTGCAGCAGGTGGGATAAAATCCCATTCCTGCATTTACAAGCTAGCATTCTTTGCTTTTTCATTTCCTTGTGCACTCCTTGAAAATTGATAGAGTTAAGGAGCATTTCATTTTTGCTAAAACTAAATTGAACAACTATATCTGAGATGATTCTGAAGTCAGATGCTTTGAATCTGGGAAATGCATCAGTACTTGGTCAAGCACTTTTAGAGTTAGAGACACACACACATAAGCTTGGAGTACAATTATCAGGTAACTCTTCATCATATAGAACCAGCACTTTAACATAAACCACTGATACCAGAAACCCAAATTTTCATGAACTTAAGCATCCTAAAAAACTTATTTTTTATTTTTATTTTTTAAGACATATATTTGAACTAAATTAAGACACCTTAAGACATTTGATAAAATGCCAGAATTATACTTTCAACTTAAATGTTTCTTTTTCCTGTTGTCTCTTCCGTAAAAGAATGAAAAAACAACTTAATCATTCCATAAAGATGTCCACAATTGACAACCATATAACAAATTGTTTAAACCCTAAGTTTAAAAACAAAATCAGAAACTGAGTTGTTTTGTTTCTCCTGGGCACTGCAAAAAAGAGAGGAATAAAATCTAATCCAGATTCAACTGTACTGACACTGAAGACTGCAGTTACATTAATATCCAATTACATGGCTCTGATGTTGGTACACATAAAACTGGCTTAATCTTTTGAAAGATTCTCTAGTGCTGCTCAAATATAGAAAAGAAATCCTGAAATTTTCTGATCTGGCATACCTAGTCTTTAATATTAAGGCTTATAATGAATAAATAACAAATAAATTTTCCACAAATAAATTTTGTGTAATTAATATGTAAATTCTTTTACTTTGTTAAATATAAACTGTTCTACATGCATCCACATAGTTATGCACCTGCCTAGCTGTACATGTATAGGTCTAACTGTTTTTTAGTTTTACTATGCCTCTTTTAAAGGAGCACATATTCTCTTCACCAGTTGAGAATGTTGAACATTAAGCACAGAAAGGGATCTTTCTACAGTCTTTCAAAACACAGGTCACTTTCTAAGGTATTGCGGACTGTGACACTCAGAAATGCCTCTAGAGCTGCCATTCCTCTAAAGACCTGCACTATATACAGGACCATCAAAGCTGTTTTCTGAAGAACAATTCCCTTTGGAGACATGATACTGGATGCTAATTATCTCCTGAACAAATAGTCAAACTATCCCATGAGTGCCAAAGGGCAGATCTTCACAGCAAATTAAGAAAAAGTTAATTGAAATTGCAAAAATTACAGATGTTTGCAATTAAATAAGACATTATATAGGAAATGTCCAGGTTTATCTGAAGTCTTTTTTTGTTTTAAACATCATAAATGGTGTTCCTGCTTATATCACACAGAGTCACATTTCCTTTTCCCTGCCAGTATTTTACTTGTTAGAAATGTACAGTCTAAAACTAAGCAGAAAAGTAACTTGGGAGGGTGAGGAAGATAAAAAGGACAGATAGGTGTGCCTAGGTCTATATTCACAAGACAAATCAGCCATAAGGTCAGTTGCCTTTTCAAAGCTTACAGAGCACTATTATCATAACACCAATTTGGCTATATTTGCTCATATTTTCGTAAGCAGCTATTGATCATTATATGTAAGGGGGAGAATATTTCTGCACGGTATGGAGACAAGACTTCACCCTTCCAACTATCTTCTGTAACAATGCTGCTCTCCTGAAGTGGTCTTTTCCTACTGTTCATCCATAGACATAAATATAGCCCAGTCAAGAAAAATTCTCATGTGTTCCAATTTTCCAATTAAGTCAACTGGAATTTCAAATATGCAGAGATTGATGGCCAAATTGCCACACTTTCACTTATATTCATTATGTCACGTGCACTTATCACACACCTAATGTCCCAATCTAACTTTGTCCACTCATGTAGGTACTGCTGTGTCACATTTACTACTCAAGTTGCAAACCTTCTACGTGAGGTCTCTATAACCCAAACAATGTTTTCTACACCTCAGTTTGGTTTCTCAAATGGTTAACAGAATGTTAAGAAGAATAAACAACCAAAACGCCATAAACCATTTGGGATGGGTCCAGGCATTCCCTTCGTGGACAATAGAGCTAAACAAGATGCCAAGAGATTACCTAGCTCAGGGTTATTTTGTAAGGACCGCACAGGAATTCAGGACAGGGCTAGGAAGACACTCCCATTCAGTCTTTTGGTTCCAGGTTAAAACATATGGCTGCAGTGCATCTGTGACCTACTCACCTAAGTGAGGAAACAGATCAGTGTCCAGCTGCTGTTTTCGAGTGCACAGTTTCACCAGTCTCTGGAGCCGGCTCATGCAGGACGAGTGCGGAGGGAAGGCTGTGGCTTTCATCAGGACCCGGTCAGTCCTTGGCGGGTCCGTGCCAGGAGCCCTGGCGGGTGGCAGGAGAGGCAGAGGTCTCTTGTTGGACAACTGCCGCGCTTGTGCTATAGTGTGTGTGGTGGGTGCCACTCCCTGCATTGGTAGGCTGGTGTTCAGAGGTTGAGGTGACTTGCAGACTATGCCCTGCGGTAGCCCTGTCGGCTTTAACGAAGCTGATGAAGGTGGCAGATGGGAGTGCTGCTGCTGCTGCAGAGGCTGCTGCTGCAAAGGTGCAGGAATGGGGCTAAAGTGCTCTTGGCGAACTTTTAAAATCTCTGTCTCTCTCTGGCGCTGCCGGTTGTGAGCCAACTTGCTCTGCAACTTTTTCTTCACTGTTGCCCCTTTCTTTAGGTCATCATCCTCCTCATTGAAAGCAAAGGGGTCTTCTAATTCTGCCTCCAGGTAGTGGAGAGGAAGCCTTGCCCCTGGAGGGGAGAGGGACATCCCATCCAGTCCATTGGGCATCTTCAAGGCCAGGGTGGGCACTGTCAGACCGAAGGCCATAGCATCCATCTGATGCCTGACCTTTACCTCCTCTATGGGATCATTCTTTTTCTTCCTCTCCTTTTTCGGTATAAAGCCAAGTACCTGCAGGTGGCTGTTGCAGTACCTTTGAAAAGTAAGAGCAGTCAGTTATTAACTAAACTTCCCTAAGTAAAATCTGAAGGCAAGGCATCACTTAGGAGAAACTCACAGACACATTTCAAGCAAATATAAACAGAAGAGGTTTTATAAGAATTGTACACAACTTCTAATACAACAGATAACTGTGGTGCTCCCAAACCAACTTACACAAGCAACTATTTCTAATCTTAAGATATAATATTCTTCATTCATTATTCATAAGAAAATCACGTACAGTCATTCAAAATCTTAATTCTCTAATAGGGTAAACAGTCAAAATCCAAAGTGAACAAAACAAATGGACAGTCTGATATAAAAAGTAGCAAGAATGCAAGCCATTAACTGATCAGTTCAAAAGCTCCTAAGAAAAAGTACATTGAAGACTACTTCCTTTCATATGCTCATTCTTTCAGTGGAAGTAGTTAACATTTTCATCAATGCAAACATTATTATTATTATGATGAATTCCACTGTAGTAGGGAGCAGTTTCTTATAGGGACAATCTCAGTACATATCTATCTGCTATGAAAGATCACTATTTCCACTTACTGAACGAGTAGCATAAATACTTAAATTCTGTTTTAGTAGTTTAACATGATGAATTTTAAAGCCAGAGGATTAGCTGAATATTCTTCAATAAAAATCTATCTTAAAACAAACTCTCTGCTGCTAGAAAACACTTACACAATGCCAGAAATATGTATATATACAATCCAAAAGCACGGATTTTAAGTTCTTCTAATACGAAAAACTTTCAAAGTCATGCTATTAAAAAAAAAAGAAAGCGAGGTCTTTGATATCTGTCACAAAAGTAAAAATAATTACAATTTATGCCACAGATGAAATACTAAAAAGTAAGCAATTAACTTTTGTTTGATTGGAATCAGTATGTGACAGAAATTTAGGAACCATGATGTGATCCTTTCCCTGTACGCCACAAGCAGACACTCCTGCCTCTGTAGAACCCACCAACAATCAAAATTTGCCCTTGCAGAATCCCATCTAAAATTTACAGCTTATGGATGACCAAAGATACAAGGGAAGAGTGATGCCTGTATCAAGGTAATGATGGACAAGATCATGAATAGAATACCATGAAGGTATTCTTTAAAATCAGATCAGTATGAATCTGAGAACAGTAAATTTTGTTGAAAAAATAGGTTAAAATTATATTATTCTGGTCTTTATGGAGCAAAAAATGGCAGAAAAGCCCAAAATAACCCCCCAAAAAGGTTTAGCACTTCCGTTTAGTCACTTTCAACTTGTCGACCCATTTTTAAAGAAACAATGCATGAACAGCTCTAAAGGGTCCTTAAAAGGGAAAGCAAATTCATATATGCTGTTTAATGGTCTCCATATATGTATAGCTTCTTTCAAGAACCACGCTCCTAAGATTTCACAAATCAGAAAACACTGAAAAGCACTGCTACTTATTATTGCCTAAATAATTTCTTCATTACATTATGTTTTAAGTAAAAAATAAACCTAGATGAGGAAAGCTAAAAGCCAACAACTTGTGCAGTCCTTATTAGAACACACTGGAATACTGTAAATTCATACTGAGAGATGCACTTCTAAAAATAAAATTATATAATGAGGGCTCAATAAAGCTTCCCTTAAAGTCAACAAGCACTGTTTCCATATTTAAAATTAAGCCCTTTTTAAATACATTGTTTGAACAGTTACCACGGCACTTAGTATGGCAGAAGGAAAAAAACCAATAAACAGACTAAACAAACACAAGGGAATTTTTTCCCTCTTATGCCAATAAAACGAGTGTTCTGCTCAACACAAATGCTTCCCTTATAATGTCCAGAAATTAAATTACTGTCATCTTGTGCTTGTGCTGATGTGAGGAGGTAGAACTGCATAGTCTGTTTTCATTGCAAAAACAGTAAGAAAATAAATAGAAAAGGTGAATAAGTCTGTGGAAAGGTAATAAGCTTGCTAAAATTCTCTGAGTTTTGGCTAGTAAGGGCTTGTCTAGTTCATTTAACTCTAACAGAATCATTTTTATATGGCAGAGAATAAAGCTTTGGCTCTTCAGCTGACCATACTGCATCACTGAGAGCCAACTGGCTCCACTGGACACAAACCCACAGATGCCAGGCTACAACATTCAGATTCCAGTACACACTGACTTGGCTCTGTGCTTTAGGCTCTGCCAACTCCCTGTCTTCCAGTATAACCAAGGCTGTTCCAGCTTGGACTAACAGGAGCAAGAAGAAACCAGAAAGAGCAGTTTAGTCTTCTCTGGGTATCACACAAGCAGTTTTGGCTAGGCATAGCTCTCACTAGCACCACTTCAGCCTTGACCATGTCATGCTCTTGCTAGCCCTGCACACAGCCAGGGGGGCATGGACCCACATTTCCTCATCCTGCACATTCCAGGATGGCTTTTTAGTCAGCCCTGACCTAAAGTGGCTCTGACTTCACGCGGTGCTGCAGAGTTTGCATTAGTAGTTCAAGCCCATGGAAGTCAGGTTACTGGGAAGACAGAACTGAACCTGCAAGTAGCACAGTGCTTTTCACATAGCTCTGAGCACAAAACCCATTAGGGTCAAGCTGGTCCTACAAGAGCCAACTCCAACAAGCCTGTCTTAGAGGCTCAGTTTGTCACTTCTGTAACTTGTCTGTGAGTTTTGCTCAGCTGACAGTATCACAGTAAGTATCTAATACAGGGGTTGTCCCCTTCTTCAATCAGCACCAAAGGCACTTATTCTGTGCAGGTTATGTCAAATTAAGATCACAAATATGGTGGGTTGATATCCATTAAAATTATCATAACATGAAGCACACAAAACGTGATGGGCTCTGAAGAATTCAGCTGGACTGTTTCCTGCATCCACTGGGAAGGCAAGAATTCAGACAGTCAGGTTTTCTACCTACAAATGCATTCTGCTTCTTAGTACACCCCAGTTTGGTATCAATTTCCACCTCTTAAAAAAAGACCCAAACAAACTGGGGAGCAGCTTGTATATTAACAAAGAATTTAAAGATTCTCTTCAGTGAGGAGAATTAGAGACTAAATAGTGTTTAACTCAACTATATTGTAGTAAACCTATATTTAGAAATCAAGTTGCATTTCATTATCTTTGTGTGTATCTGGTTAAGAAATAAGTAGGAGATGTCTTCAGAGAAAAGAGAGATACAAAACCCATGTGTGTATCATCCCACATATATGTATTCTCTAAAAAAATATAGTGAATAGAAAAATCAGACTTCAAATAAGGCAATGAAATCACATATATTAATAGATTTAATTTGTAGAATGTTAATGGTTAATAAGAAATGTAATAGTATGGCATCATATTAACCATCTTTGTGGCCGGTAGCACCTCATTTGTCTGGGGTCAAGTGATAAATCTTCTTAATTATCTGTGGAAAGACTTATGAAGCTTTTGGCATATAATGCGTGCATTGTCTTTAAATACTTTTTTTTAACAATTTCTAAAAGTATAAAAGAAGATAGCTGTCAGAGCATCATACAGCCTGCTTCTGATCCTGTACAGTTCCATGTCTAAAACTGTGACAAAATGACCATCTGACAGTAATTCTGTACACAGAAAATGAAAAGCTATGAGTGAAGAACTCAGACACTACAAACATCTTTATATTGAACAGAGTGTGAAAAAAGTCTTCTAAGAAACAGATACAGGTTTGCCTGCCAAAAAGAAGTTTAGAACAGTCACAGTCTTATCACTAGCATTCATTAAATGTTATTGTTAAAATTAAACTCTGCCCTGAGAAACAGTCTTTTAAAATATTCTTTCAACTATCACATCCTCTCATTTGAAATTAAAAGTTTATTTTCTCTTTCAGACACCTGCTGTCCTCTTCAAGTACTGTAATGTGACACTCGACATGCAACTGAATTATTCTAATATAACATACACCAGATGTCATGACCACACTTCACTTTAACTTGAGAAAAATCAAAAAGAACAAAGTGTGAACTCAATTCAAGGTGTAAAGAAAAATCACAAATTCCATGGGAACATATGAGACATAAAAAAGTGTCATTAAGTACTATTACTTCTATTGTTTTTCAGTATGACCCCTGGTAAACAGGAACTCTCTCAGTCAGCTCTTGCATCTGAAATTACAGCATACCATTTGTGCTAACAATTTCTATGATCATTTCTGTGAGCTTATTTCCAAAGAGCCTCAATTGTACAGTAGCAAAGAAACACTCACTGACTGTCAAATTACAGCTTCAAGTTATTCATCTTGTGCCATTTGAGCATTTGCCCTACAGCTTTTGACAAACATTCATGTTTTTTTCTCACTTCATCAGTCTCCTCAGCTGAAATGGCAGGTGAAGTGCAAGTTAATTTAGAGCACAGTCCAACTGTTGTTTCAGACAAGAGAGGGAGCTGTGAGCTGAGAAGGAAGTTATATGTAGGGCACAGTGGGAACACCACTAATAATGCAAAAGGTTAGTGAATGGCAGCTAATAATGTGAAAGGTCAGTGAATAGTGGCTTGATTTTTTTGGCATATTTTATTCATATTTTAGGTTTAAAAAAGCATTTCTACAAGAACAAGCCTCAGATAGTTAACACACATATTAATTAAACAATGCATTGCTGGCAATACCTGCAATGACAACTCTGAAAAATAAAGTCATATATTGATGGCATATACATTAGATTAGACAAATTCTGCTATTTCAGCCTGAGCAGGACCAATGAGACTGGTGTTCAGGAAGTCTTAAGGAGCAAGGAAGAATGCCTTTGTGGTTACAGTATGGGCTGCAATTCAGGAAATCTGCTTTTAATTCCCAGCTTTCAACAAGTTCAAGGACTATATTTTGCAAGGAATTTAATACCCAGGCTATCTGGGCATCTTCATTTGGGCAGGGAGGGGGAAAGAAATAAGGGAAGCAAAGAAGAAAAGGAGTATGTGGCACTTTCCCAGCTGGCTCATCTGTTATCAACTAATACTTATTTTATTCCAGTAAAACAATACTACAGATCAGTACCATATCACCAACACTGAATTGTAACCCTGGATTTGTCCCTACATGTCACTGCCCCCCGTGTCCAGAATATAAGCATTTTCAACTACTTGTCCTGAAAAAGCAGATGGAAGTGTGCTTTTGGCACTGCTGGCTTAACAAGCAGGCCTTTCTAAGAGCATGTACTGTGAGTGACAAAGCAAATGAGTTAGAACAGCTGATATTGTGTAGCAGGTTTGATCCACAGTTTATAGTGAATTTGTGAAAAGCAGTGAACTCTCCCATAAACTTCCTTGGGATTAAGTCACTGCCCTCTCACTGAGTACTTGACTCTCACAGAAAATAAAATAAAGTTTACTGGTCTTAAAACAAAATTCTCAAAGGAACATCCTGGAATACAATTGACTCAGCCCAGTCCCTCCCTCATCCTGAAACCAGGCAGCAACTTAAATAAAACGTCCCAGCCGCTTCCCACTTTGCAGAGAGGAAAGCAGAACTCACCTACGGTCCTCAGACTTGGGGATGGGGTTGGTGCAGCGTTGGCTGTTGTACTTGGCCACATATTCACATTGCTTGAAGGGGGCAGTCTTGTCCTCCAGAACGTGTCTGATACAGAAGGCGTAGCCGTTAAGTCGCCTCTGCTTGCACAGTTTGGGGCTATAGGAGCACAAGGGCTTATTGTCAACCTCAGAGAAGTGTATGTGTTTGCCTTCATACATCACGTGACTCTATTCCTTGTGAACATCAGCTGAAAGAACCAAAACATTGAGAAAAATCACATAAGGGAAGAAAAACTGCATTCAGTTCTAGGTTGTGTGTTTCATTCAGGCCGGAAAGAAGGATCCAAAACAATACCTGATTTTAAATCTTCTGCACCATGTCAGTGTTAAGAGAGAGCCCCAAGGACACCACTATCTTGGAATGATGATGAACCAAGATGAAGCAGATTGTCTAAGGAAAACATCAAAAGGGTCACTGTCAGTCAGAATAAAATAGATATTACTACAGTAAGTAAACAGGCACGCATAGTCACCAAGCCCGTGGTTCAGCTAGCATCCAATAAAACAACAGCACAATAGTTTTCAATTAGTAGTCACAGATCTTGGAAAACACTAAAGAAATTACTGGGGGAAAGAAAATTCTACTGCCACCACACTTAAATCACTTTAACAGAACTTCACTCATCTACCAGAAAGTGATTAGAAGCTACAAGTTGAAAAAGGTTAAGTGTCAGATTAGATCACTTGCTTTCATAAATCAAGCTGAAAGATGATTAACCCATTTGATTGCAGAGGGTTTACTTCAAGGTATCTTTGTTTACAAAACCACCACAGACTGTCTTTGCTCTGCAAAATTACTTTGCCAATGAGTGCAACAAAGCTTTTTTTAAGAAAAGCTTTCTTTACCACACCTGATGACCAGTCTTTCGGATTTTGTAGCTGCTTACAATTTCTGCAAGCATCCATATGCAGTCCTACCTGAGGTCATCATGGTTCTTCAAAGTTTATCCTACCTCACTGTACCTCTTTTAGGGAAATGCAGGCATTAATACCAGTCAGTACTCCTATGAATGCCAGAAGAGCTGAAATGTCAATTCAGCAAGAGGCTGGGATCCTACAGTGGTTCCTACAGTTCCCAAAGCAGGTTCCTACAGTGCAAATCCATGCAGCCATAAGGTACTTTTTCAGATACCAACATTATGGATGTCTTTGGCAATAATCTTTTCAAAAAACCAAACAAAACTCCCAAACCATTCCAAAGTAGTGTCAAAAAAAAATTAATAGTACATATATTCTGCAGCTACTGTGATACACTAAGCTTAACCTGCAAAAGGTAGCTTTTATTCAGGAAGGTCATCCTGAAGCACTGGAATGAACTCTTTTGAGCACTCAGTTCAGTTTCATATGTGTTGTACAACAAGGAAAGGAATATTCATAGAGATGATATTCAGGAAATATGTAATAAATTAGAGGCATGTGACAAATGTACAGATTACCACCCCAATGAAATTACTTGTTCCTGAGGCCCAAAATGGCAAGAACAGAATTGCAAGGAGGAAACCTACACAGACTTTGCAGGAAAGATGTACTTTCCTCTTGTAAAGGTACAAGCCTCCACTTTCTGCTGTAAAAAAGTACCATGAGAAAATGACAAAGCACTACAGCACTGGGGGATCTAGAAAACCAATTTTAAGTCACTAGGGCAAAACAAAACACCCTATCCCACAGAGTAAACAACATAAATCTGGCCTTCATTAGCATATATCTAGCTGTAAATGCAGAAAGACAGAAGAGTATTAAGACTTACAAACACTTAAAAACTTAAAATTCTTGGAACAGCTGTACATGCACACACACAGCATTACCGAGCATAGGAATGGAGACAGGTGCTACAGAATGTAACTACTACAAGCAACCTGAACAATCATTTGACAATAATGGTAACTTTGTATTTCCTCTTGATACACATTTTCCCTTTCCAAGCACACAGGGAAGCGGCCAGCCCGAGGCAGGAGCCTCATGCTTTGCTTACACCAGAGAGCCACAACATACACACAGTCACCTGGACCAATTTCAATCCCCTTTCCCAGCTTTTCTCAAAGGCACTATATACATACACACACATATACTTGAAATCAACCAATCACTGGAGTATGACTTTCTACAACATGTCAGTCTTAAGAACAAGAAAGTTCATTGTTGACTGTTTGCTTCAAAAAGACAGAAGGGGAAAAGGGAACAATCTCTTTAGCATGTTAAGGACCAAATATTCCTTTCAGTAACCTTGGCTCAGGCAGATACTGATATATCCTCCAGTATTCAGCAACAACATGAAGAAAACGCATAAATCTCATGGGAACACGATGACCATACGGGAGTTGTGGTCAGTGCTTGTATCCCAGGTGCTTGAGAGATGGACTCCTCTATTACTATGGCAGCAAAAGTAATCAAATGAGTCTCAACTACTTGTGACCCACACACACTGACAGAAAGCCTTTTGCTGGAGAGTCTGCTTCTCTCAGTTTATCAAAGCTTGGATTAGGTGGCACACTGGACTGGACATAAAACTTGAAAGACCAAGTGTATCTTGCAGCTGGAGTGACCCACATGTTGCTCTCTATTTTTTTCTGGTTTATTTTTCACCTTCTTTTAAACTACCACTATCATGCTTTGCAAAGTTTCTGATGGATCACTAACTTTCTCCTCTTTTGTACAACCCAGCTGTATTTCTTTTCTGAAGGTTAGCAGGCAATAGACCAAAGAAAGAGTTCCTTAGTATGGTTCCAAAGTAAACAGTAAGAAATGCATACCCTGTGTGCCTCTGTTAAGCTTCTGTAAGGAAACTGCTCCACAGTTCCCAGCCACTAATCCTAGATTTATTCTTGTGGCCACAGTCTTATTTTTGGGTTTAACTCATAATTAAGTCTTATTTTTGCATTTAACTTGACTGTGTCAAGGCAGGCATAGCATTTCACTTCTCTCCTGTCTGAGAGATACAGGGCACAAGGGCAATGCCATTTGAAACACTCACACAAAAATACTGACAATAATCCCCAGGGAAACCAATAAGCATGAACATGAGTTTTTGGGTCTATACATACACTAAAAGAAGCTCATGCAAAAATAGCCATATTAAAAATCCTGACAGTACAACTACAGTGCAAGGAACAAGAAAGCCAACAAACATGGTAGCCAACCAATGTAATATTAAAAAAACAACACAGCAATTTTCTCAAACTTGCAATTATATCTTTATTGGTAAATTCTTAAACAGACTCCCCAAAAGACATGTCACTATGTGGATACATTGCCAGGAACAGAGACTGAAGTTGGACTTAATCTAAGAAGAGCTTTTTTTTTTTACTTCCATGGCATACCATATAAGAGAGAGAGTGTGTGTATATAAATATATATATATAAAAATAACGAAGACACTTAAGTCTCTTCATTCTGATTTCATCTAATGCAGTGTTTTATTTTTAACAATTTACAGGAGTTCTTATCAGAGCTTTTTGCTGCTACGTAAAAAGTAGCACAAGCATGGAATAGGCACATGTCACTTAACTGAGGAGAACTGAAACTACACTTAGCTAAATAGTGGGTGGGGGAGAAATTATTTTTGTCCCACAGGATTCAGTAAGAGATGACGGAAACATGGACTTCCCCTGGAAAAAGCAAATGCTTAAGCAGCTGTACTTCACTATAAAAATATCAGAATACAAAACTTTCTGGAAGCTGTTTTCAGTTTTGCATTTATACTCTACATTGAAGATGTAGGAAGGTTTGACAGGAAAAAAAATTATGCCTGCATGTGCTCAAACTAACTTTAGCCACAACCCGTGAATGAGAAACCAGAAGCTGCTTCGTGAGGAACCTAGATTTTCCTTAAACAACTGATTCTAAATAAAAGATTTTGAGCTACTAAGAAACAACAGGGCAAAGAACAGAAGGGAATCCAAAAATGTGTGCCCTTGCAAAATAAAAAATCATGGTACGGAATAAGGTAAATACAGAGCAGCCATACCAGATCACAAAATATTGCAGCTAGAGGTACCTGATGAAGTTAGTAAGAGATTGACTCAAAACATATCAAAGAAGTATTTCTTCATTTTTACTACTCACAGGCAGTGAACTGCTGGAGCTTGCAATCACATGAGACTATGGAAGCAGACAGTACCATCAGGTTCAAAAAGGCAATAGAGAAGTTCATGGACAATGGGGACATAAGTGATGCACTCTCTAGCATGACCATTTTAACAAATATGGGTGGTGGAGGAGTAAGAGAAGAAAGCACAAAAAAAGTGTCTGGGCTTTAATGCCCTTCCTAAGTAGCATCACTTATTCCTACTGCCCTAGACAGAACATTAGGTTGGATCCAAGGTAATCTGACCCAGCAGGGTATTTTTCACATTCTTATAAGTTTATCACTAATATTTGTAACTTCATAACACATTCACTTCTCCCTTTGTCCCATTTTTTATTCTTGAGCAGCTGACCAGAAGAAAATCTCCTCCCTCTGGCTAAAGTCCTATCTGGACGTGTGAAGAAGAGTAACAAACTTAGCACCCCAGCAAGGCTTTATAGCAAGGACATGCAGGACACAGAGCTAAGTCACACTCTGAGACATCAGCACTTAAGAGCAGAGCTATTTGTCCTGCTGAGTGCAGCCACTGGTTGTCCATAAGACAACTGAAGGTGGTTTGCACAGTGACTGCAAAAAGAGAAATGAAAGATTTCAATACACACAGGAACACACCTGTCCAACTGCCAACACCTACTATCACCCTCTGGAAGAAGCCAACTTCCAACTTCCTTTTACTACTGGCTTTTCAGTACAGGCATAATCAGCTCCCTTGCAGTGCACATCAGCTCCAAAGACAACACAGTTGTAGCTCTGCACTCCACACACCCTCTTCCAAAAGAGTTAAACACTCCTTCAGAGAGGCTGGAAAACAGTGTAGCAGCAAACTCTGGAGGATGATCTTTACTATAACCATACCCAAGTAGCAGCATTATGTCATACAGAAATCTGGTACCTGACATTGTGAGTAATCTACAGGGAAGGCAATGGCTTACTCACTAACAGAAAGCCCAAAGCACCAGAGCCTCAAAACTCCGACCGGTAATTTTGCGCAAATGCTGTGCTGAAAATATTAGAGTATTTTAAATCATGTGGGTTGAAACATTCTTAAACATATGCTCAGAACTTGACATTCAATGTACGTAGGACCCTTTTAGGCAATGGAATCCCCAAATGCATTGTAAATTGCAAGGCAATTATATGCTGGTGGTTAAAAGATGTATAATTAAGAGGACTGAGCTCAGAGCTTCACACACTGCATCCAAACAAAATCCACAACTACAGAGGTCTTTATTGTGTTGTTTGCATTTGCTAATACTAGCCTAAATTTCATGTTAAATTGCTTGGTGTGTTCATGACATCTCACAGACAAGGTACAATCATCTCCGTAGGTTCCCAAAACCATCAGCTTGGGTCCAGAAGTAGAACATGGATCTACAAGAATCTCAGCTTCTCCACAAGCACAAATAACATAAATAGTAGTTTTGTCATTTCCTCTTGACCAAGAAAGAACAAGTACCTGTCACTGTCAGACCCATTTCCTGAAACTGAGCAAACACACGGTGTGCAAGATGTTTGGAAACATGGAATTTCATCCACCCCAAGATGAACAGAAGCCATAAGGTTCATGACAAAAAGACAGGTACTTAAAGCTATTTTATAGCAAAACTTTTCAATCAGTATTAGTAAAAAGTATACTTCTAAGTATGAATCTAAAACATTCATTTTCTCTATTTCATAGCAAGTAATACCTCTCTTTGAAATGTTTTGTTCTATCAAGAGAAGCTGTACCGCATCTAATTGTGATAAACATCAACATCACAAAGTTGTAACTTCTGTCCCTATGCTGTGATCTAACCATAAGTTTCACTTAGTTCTAGTCTTTTAACAGCTCCATTCTCTACTACACTCAGCTAGCAAACCAAGAATGCTGTAATTGTGGAAACAAGACTCTTTTTGTCAGTAAAAGCACTCAAATTGAGACAGAGGACACTGGGAAGCAACCAACATCAGCTACAAGAGTTCCTGTACAGAACGCTTTCATGAACTAGACTACAGTCCTTACTCAGGAAGGCCTCTGAAGTGCAGGTACTGCAACACACATGCAGGTACCCTGACAGATCAAGGCATTCAACATGTTAAGATCTTACAAGATATTTTTAGTTACCACCTGGAATCGTATTTTGGACTACTTTTTTTCATATGTTAAGATCTACCTGGGAAGAAAGAAGCAATACTGCCCTCATTCTGCCTTTTTAGAAAGCTTATTACTTCAGTTCTGGCAAAAGGCAGTTTACATTGCATAAGGATGTCCAATATATTAACAGAAAAGCAGCAGAATGTTTTAGGCAACACTGGTAAAACAGATTATGTTTTAGAATATAACACAATAAATACAGAATTAAACTTAAGCATTATTCCTAAAAATAGCAACAGCTAGAGAACTTACAGACTTGTAACTGGTTACAATCAAGAGCAGAAAACATAACTATGAGGAGGAAAATAAGTCTTTGCTCACAAACTGAACAGGTTCTTTTTGTTTTCCTACACCACATGAACTTAAACAGGAATTTTAATTTCAGCTGATTCACTCATCTGCACCTCATAGTATCTTAGAGAAAACCTGACAAAGATAGCCCAAACCCTAAAAAACAACAAACATTTAAGACTCTACAAATTTTAGAAACTTCAGAGGATTTGTAAAGAAAAAAGAACTTACGTAGGAAAATTTGTAACTACTGTCAAGAGTACATTCCTACAGATTTCAAAAAGTAATCTCCTAAACATGGCTATTCCTGACCTAAGGTTCAAGATGGGCTCTGTATCTTGAAAGTTTTTTGAACAAGGGGTTCTCTATTTGAGCAGAAGGTCTCCAGGCCCCAGTCCTGCTATCACATCCTCACAGGGAGGTTGTCACGCATGGTTATTTCAATGGAGTTATAAACAGGCCTGGGTTTTGCAAGGATGAGCAGGGCTGCAAAGAGCAGCCTTCAGATACAGCAACAAATTGACCCTTTATGACATTGCAACAGGGCAGAAATGTACTTTAGAAACATCTCAAAATACCAAAAGCAATATCCTGAGATAAAGTAGAGATTAAGCATACCATAACACACCTTGCATCTATACTTGGGGAAAAAAAATAAGTCCAAGTCTTTTATTTAGTCAAATAACACATAGCCTACCTTTCCAGATGAGGTTAAACAAAATACCTTTGTCTTATTTTTAGTCCCAATACTACAAAGACAAATAAACTTATTTTCTCACAATACAATATCATTCTTGCTTCAGTAGGAATACTCAATAAATAAACCAACAGAGCTCCTCACAGAGGAGCCTTTCAGCAGGTATAAGCTATTGGAGTTTCAGTGTGGTCCTAAAATAAATTTGTACCTCCTGATGATTTACCATACCATGAGAACATAGTACACACAGTTCTGTAGGACCAGGTCCTACACACAAATTCACTCATCACAAAACTACTGAACATCAAAATAACCCCCAGTACATAAATTTAGCGTTGCTTCCAGTAAATAATTTAGCTTTACAATTAATAAAACTTGTGTGATCTTTGTATGTACTACAAACAGTTCATGCAAAAGGCTGAATGTCATCAGTTTGTAAGTGACAGCTTTATACAAAACACGAGCTCTCCAGTTCAGCCATCAGAAGTGGTACCTGGTGGGTATGGCCTGAGCGTGGAACACTGCCACTACAGGTGAGCCCATAGGGGAGGGCACCTGTCTACGGGGGAACAGTGCATTGCCCTAATTTTGTCAATTTTATTTTTAAGTCTCTCAACGCTCAAAAACTAAAAGGCCTTAAAGTAAACCTGCATTGCACGTTGTTGAGTAACTAAGTTAGAACTAACTCTATGTATTTTAATCAGATGGTATAATATAAGGCTTTAAGGCGAGTGTCACTGTCACTTCTAAAATTCATTTCAGGTTACTTGTACAAAGCCACTATACTTTTGACCTAAAAGACACATTAAGGAATATTTGACCGAAACGTGCCACCTCCCACATTAGAAACCGGAGCTATTTCACCTGTGCGGGGTGAAGTGCGATGATGGGTCTTCCAGTGCACTCACTTCACAACTACCAGACCTTCTTTTCCCTGAAAAAAAGGATCCTTTCATTTTCATTCCTGGGGGGCAGCAGCACCTCACACAGACCACCCCCAGCACACAGGGACATGAGAGGGGGCCAGACACAGCAATTGCCGTGTAGGGGCTACCGAGCGCTCCCCTCCCCGGGCTGAGGTGCCAGTGGCTGTGGCTCCTGTCCCACTAACGGGTCCCGGGACAGCGGGTGGCCGAGGGACCCCAGCCCGGCCCGGGCAGGGCTCAGGCAGCCGCCGGGCCCGGCATGTGCCCGGCACCGAAGGTGCTGCCACGGGCAGCCCCTCGCCCCTGCCCCTCGTTCCGAGCTCGGGGGCCGGCCCGGGGCCCCACGTGCCGGCAGCCTGGGGGGCGGGGGGGGACACTCCGAGGGCTTCCCCGCACCCCCAAAACCGCCCCCCGCTACCTCCCAAAAAGTTGTGCGACGAATCCAGCCACCGCCGGCCCGGCCGAAGGGGGTCACCGACGGGGGGAAAAGGGGGTACGGGACGGGCGGGGGGGAACCTGCGGCCGCATTCTGAGGTGCCCCCGCCCCGCCGGCACCGTCCCCACGGCCGCGGGCGGGGGGTGGCCGGCGGCGGCGGAGGGGGGGTAAAGCACCCCAAAAACGCTGCGAAACTTTCCAGGCCGCGGCCGGCGCAGCCCCGCGGGACCGGCACCGCCTCCGCCGCGGCGGCCCCGCACCGGGCTGGGGGAGGGGGTGCCCCCCCACCCCGGCACCGCTCATTAAAAGTCATTTCGGCAAATTAATGCCGCCCCGTCCCCCCGTCCCGCGGCCCTCTCGCCCCGCGCGGGGGGCGGGGGGGCTTGGGGGGGAAGAGCGGCCCCAACCGCGGCGCCCCCTCTGCTTCCCCCCAGCCGCCCGGCCCCGGCGGCGGCGGGGCTCGGCCCGCTCTGGGCCCGGGGCCCGGCGCGGGGGGCCCGGCGGGGCGGGGAGCGGAGCGGCCGGGCCGCGCCGCGCCGCGCCGAGGCCTAGCGCCCCCCCGCCCCCGTTCTCCCCCGCCGCCCTTCACCTCCCGGGCAAAGGCGCCGCGCCCGACCCTCCCGCTGTGCCCCGGCGGCCGTCTCACCCCCCTCCGGCGCTCCTCCCGGCGCCCGAAAGCTTCAAAAACCCCCCTGGCTCCCCGCACCCCCTACCGCGGCCTACGCCGCTCCGACCGATCCCCGGCCTCGAGTAGCCCGCCTCCCCGCCCGCCCTGCACCCTCCGCACCGCCTGCCGCGCTACGCGAGCCCGGGGATGCAGGCCGGGCCTGGCTTACCTTTCCAGCTGCTTTTTTTTCCCTCCTCTCTCTCCTCTCCCCCCTTTCCCTCTGTTGGGCTGACAGATCAGAGTTTCCTCCCCAGCAGAGGGACTGGGAATGTGCTCGGGCTCTGTGCTGAGGAGCTGCTGCCCCCCTGTCTCTGAGAAGATCCTGCTTTTTGTGGGGAGGAAGCTTTGGGGGCTCTTTTATTATTTTAAAACTACAAAGTGCTCAGAGGGTAGGTGATTATTAAGGGGAATCCCTGAATATATTCTCCAGCAAAGAAGGCAGGGCTGCTGGGGCTGCTCAAGAAGAGAGCCAGCAGCCTCCTATAGCACCACTACAGGCACTGCGAGGACATAACATCAGAGAGCGGCTCCTCTGCCCTCCAAAACAACAACTTTCCTACCATCTTGGAGGTAGTAGCGAGGGAGAGAGGGAGGGGGAAAAAAAGTACAGAAGGTTTTTATAAAGTGTCCATTTGGAGGAGGGAGACAAATGGCCAAAACAAAATATTTTATCATTTGTGTGACTTTTTTTTTTTTTTAATAAAAATAAAATACAAAGGCTCGTCGCTGAAGAATTTTTTTTTTAATAATCTGTAAAGATCAACTCTGGAAAAAAAATTAAAGGAGGTATGGTAAAAAAAATATTTTTAGTAACTTCGTTGTTCTTAAAGCTGTGTAATTTTTTTCTGTATTTTAAAGTTGATAACTTTTTTGTCATTTTGTGATGGTTCTAAAAATTAGTGTGTAATTGTGAAAGTTTGTGTAACTTTTTTTTTGGTATTCTTAGTCTTAGTAAACAGCTGAGATTGATGTCGGATAGTTTGGTGCAATTGTACCATAACGTCTTTCTCTCTCTCAAGGCATTGTAAATAAAATTGGATATACAGGTAGGAAAAAAACCCATATTTTTTTAATTTTTACTTTTTTATTTCTTTCTAGAATAGGCTATGTAGAGAAACAATGAAGGATTTAATGTGAGTGAGAGGAACCTATGATAGATATCTGAGAAATTGTGCTGTCATAAATTTAGCATTGTCTGCCCTTCAGGATGGGATGTGAAAAAACAGAACTCATAGCAAGAAATTGGGGGCAACAGTTGAGTTTTGTTCTTAATATTTTCAAAGCATTTTGCAGCCTTCTAAAAATCTGTTTCGGTTCTTTTTAACTTACTGTTTTGATTTAGGGGCTTTGTTCTTTATATTTATGAATATTATTCCTAACTTATAGTTGAGAAATGCTATAAATTTATACTGCAGTATCTTGTAATATAAATTAATATTACTTTTCTTTGTTGCAGATTCTTTTATTAGATTGTAAAAAATATATTAAGTGCTGTCAAAACAGTGTCAGATGCTGTGGTGTATCTGTAGGTGAAGACACTGATCACTGTATTCAGCAGATCTGTGATAATGTTTCTTGAAGTAGTATTATGCACAGCCCTATTCAGAGATGAGCTGCAAAGATGCCTTTTTATTTGTCCCGAAGGAAGAGGAAATAATTAGGAAACTAATGAGCTATACATTATGTTTTTTCCATTGTAAAAATTATTCAGGTGGTATAGACTAATTGAACTGCAGTCAGACTAAGGTCATACGGATGAAGTACTGAATTACTTAGTATATTATCACCCTCCTCCTCTCCCCTGCCAAATCTGAAATATGTTGGTTTAGTTCAGTTCTTGTTATCTTAAAAAAAAAAAAAAAAATCCGTATTTTAGGTACATCCACATTTCAAAACATACTTTGAGTTTGCCCAGCCTGCATGGTGAGGGTAGCTCGTGTGTTCATAGTGGGTTTTTCATTTAGATAACTAGGTTTCAATTAAAGTATAATTAAAAGTCAGCTGATCTTTGTGTCACACTGTTTTTGTTTAGCAGAGTTTTTTAGATTATTCTTAGTCTACCTAGCTCATTTTTAATAATCTGGAGTGTTGCATTCAATGGAATTATTGCATGGGAGGTGTTTTTCTGTTATTTGATTTTTTTTCTGTTTTTCAGTTATTAATCTGTCAAATGGATAGTTCTGCTGATGTTAGAAAACAACAACAACAAAAAAAACCCAAATATGTTGCTCCTATATTGTATTCCAAAAGAGTTTGTATTTTGTATAGAAGTAGTGCAATAATTAGGGTCCTTCATAATTTTACCAGTCATTATTGTATGCTTTGGAGCATGAAGTATGATTATTCTCTTTGTAAGCTGTTTCAGCAAAAACTACTTTTATATTCTATACCTAGAATTCATTATAGGAATGACAGGGATTAGAAACATTGGTCAGGTATAGGATGATTGAAAAACCGCAAACCCTTTGAAATATTGCAAATAAATTATCTTAAATAATTTAGGAATTCAACAAATGCAGCATAAACTAGTATTTCCTTTTCTTTTATTCTAAATAGATAGATAAAGGGCCAAATTCTCAGACCCCACTTTTGCAGATGCTTGCAGGCCTTACTAACACTTGCTAATTCAGAAGTGCTTGAAGGATCACTGTAGTTCCTGGCATAAAACTCTTCCCAAATCGGTAGGATTTTGCTTGAGTACCAAATTTAAGTTTCTGTACAAAGTGATTTCTTGTATTAACCATTGTGTTAAACAATAGAATTGCTACTTTCAACTTAATTCAGTAGTTCAGTATAATTCAACTACAGTTCAAGTTCTCTTAATTGGTCTATTTAGATGGTTTTTGTGTTTTAGGAAGAGAGGCATACCATGAACAACTAATCTCTGCCACATCTCTCTGTGGAACCCTTAAGAATATCTGTACGGCACACTTAGTATCTTGGAACTGTATTTTTTAAATGGGATGCAGGTAATTCAACATTTTAGAGAAATAGCTATGAATGCACTTGAGAAGCTGAGCACAGAAACAATATTAAACCTTTTCTTGGGCTTATGTGTTTGACTTTGCAGATACTGATTTTAATCAGATTACTTGCCTGCCTAAATTTAAACATGCATCACAACAGCATTACACATTTTGGTGACATCCTAAGATCTATCTAATGTGTTTTAATTGTGAAGCCAGAAGCTTAATGCCAAGAAAACGAGAAACATTTTGAATCTGGAAGTTTGGAATAGGAAAACTTGAAATGGAATACTTCTGGTGTCTTGTACAAAAAAAAAATTAATTCAATCTTTTTAAGGAGGAGAAAATAAAGAGGAAAAATTTGCCAGATCTTGATTGTGTGGACTATTATGTAATCATTCAACAGAGAAATTAAAAATTTGTACTTCATGGATGGATAAATTTATTTAACAAAACTTTATTTATCTGAGAGTAATTTGCTTTTCACTAACTTACTAAGAGATACAAATATTATTTTAATTTGCTGAAAATAAAATGTTACACGGTAACAAGCTAAAGGAGCAGTCTGCTAGTTTTAGTAATGTAGAATGAAATTATTTTTTAAAAAATATTTGCTTATCTTTATGGACAAGACTCTTAGGCTGGGACATACATTATTTTGATGGGTAGAGCAGTGCTCTGAAATTACACTGGAGGACAAATTGGACTCTGAAACTTCTGTACAAGGACAATGTGTAAACCCCAAGCACAAAAGGTCCCCCGTACAGCATTCAGAATTGTATTCTGAAACTTCCATTCTTCAGAACAGGTCTGTCTGCCTTGATTTAAGTCAGCCTCATCCCTGGACCAACTGCTCCATCCAGTAAACTTATTGTACACTTGAGCACAGAGTGGTCAGAGAATATTAATGTTCTGTAAATCATACGTTCTGGCTAATGAGGCATTCTGTGCTGATGTGTCTCACTTGTGTTAGTAGTGAGACAGGGCAGTGATGCAGTGAATAAGCTTTGTGAGTTTGATAAAGCAATGAAATAGGTGCTTTAGGTTGTACACCACTTACTGGAGGAGGGTGCATCAAGAAATGAACCTTGACTTTCTCCCAAGGTCGTGCGCACCCCGAGTGCAGACCTCAAGAATTTCTGGAGCATGCCTTAGACTCTGTGCATGTGATGAAGACTCTCAGGTTCTCCCCAAATAGTGTTACAATGTCGGCATCTTGGTATTATTTCTTGAAAGACACATACTGAGGAAACAGTTCCAAGGTCTTCAAATGCTTGCTAAAGGGATTAGCAATTTATTTAAAATGCAAGTGAATGTTGTGAAGGGGAAGAACAACTCTAAGTGTATAGCTGTTAATTCAAGATTTTCTTATCTGAAGAGCCACATTTGTATAGAAGATCTTGTCTTTAGGCATTTAAAGACTGAAAAGGGTGAGAAATTAAATAAAACCCAAAGTTATGATACATTCTTCTAAGCAATGTCTTGAGCAGCTGTGATGTGGTATTAGTTTGTGAAATAGTGGCAAGTTCTGGAGTCAAGCTAACCATTAAATCCCAGCATATTAACATTTTTGAAAAATGTTTATTGTAATTTTTCACCAATTCTTTAACATGAAAATTTTATAGCAATGGTTGTCTCTTGCGTATCTGGGTTTCAGTTACTCTGCTGCAGTTGTATGTATTTGATAATCCACATGCTCTTTGCCACTTTTCCAAACCACAGAGTCCTTATGTTAAGAACACTGCCCATGATCTGAGGATTTTTCTCTAGGAAATATTCCCAAGTTATGGCATAAATTGAGCTGCTTACACCAGCTGCTAAACTCCTTCAAACCTGTGCTTTAGTGCACTCCTGTGTGGCAGATAACACAGCTGAAACTATAGGACAAGCCCTATATACAACAGAGTAACTTTGCTTTACCTAGTTTAAAGCCCCAAATGCTAGCAAAGCAACATGGATGTACATATGACTAACCTTGTTTTCCTTGTTTTGTATTAGGAGCTTCATTAAAGCTTTTTTCAGCAATGGGAATTTTCCTGTGGGTTTCAGTAGGAGTATAGCTGAAGTATTTAACCAATTGGGAACAGATGTATGCTAGCTATTACATGATAATATAATTAATTGATAGTGAACTGTACTGAAAATAGTAATTAACTAAGACTTCACTAATCTGTTCTTCATTATCAATGTGTATTTTAATCTGCATTAAATAAATGGTATTGTCTTCCTAAAGCTCAGCAAAGACAAAACAGTAAGACTGTTAATTGTGGGAAGGTTGTCCAGAGTATGTTGGGCATCTGTGGAGACCTCTTTAAATAGAGGACAAATTAATGGAATAAGCTGTCCCAGCAGAATGCTGTAATACCATCTCATTTTACTGGGAAGCCCTTTGTTAATTCAAAGTATACTATTGTATTTTTACTATCTGCTTCTGTCTATTGATATTTCATTAACTGTAATTGGAGTGGTTAAGAAGCTCCACACTTTATCACCAGTCCTCTCTGCTATTAGTCCAACCTTATTTATTTACATTCAGGTTGCAGAGGGTCTT